AAACCCATTTTGGCCGCTTGTACTCGTGACCTAGTTCTTTCGGTCATGACCCATGACCCATCCTTCATGACCACACGTGAGGGCTTTTTCTTCAGTCGGACGGCTTCCCTGTCCACCGGTGTGTCCACCACGGGGTTCGAGAGTTACCGCCCCTTGATACACCTAAGACCTTGAGGCCACAACTCACTGCTGCAGCTTCAGCAATGGGTTTTGAACATACACCACTCTGGTTCAACGGTCCCTACCTCCACAGGAATGTGAGAGAAGCTCCGCCGGAGATGTGAGCTGAAAATCTTTTGGACCGGGGCCTCCTCCAGACGTTCCCAGTTCACCCTCACTACACGCTTGGGTTTACCAGGTATGTCCTGAGTCTTCCCGCATCTTCTGACCCAGCTCCACATCTGGTGGTGAGCTGGTGATCAGTTGACAGCTGTGCCCCTCTCTTTACCTGAGTGTCCAAACCATGCGGCCTCAGATCAGACAATACAATTACAAAATCGATCTTTGGCCTAGGGTGCTGTGGTACCACGTATGCTCGAACATAATAATCTCCAGTTCCGTAATAATCTTTGATTCAAGTCAGAGTTTATTGAAAACAGCTAAAAAATTGTACAATTTGCTAATAAGCCTAACATGCAATGGGGGTTGAATCATTTTGATTGCAACTGTATGTAACAGGAGGATGTGCTTATAATTCTATAGACAGCCTGATCAATGAGCTCATGTGCCAGTATGTTTACATTGGGCCAGCGCATGGATTTTAACTGTACGTAACGGATTTATGTCTGCAGTCTTCCACTACATGAGCATGTGGAGCCAGACCTTTCGTCCGAGCTGAAACTGTGCTGTTTAGATGGCCTGTCACGGTTTGGGTTGATGTCTGGTTTTATTTTGTAGTTTCTTGCCTCTGTTCTCCCTGGGTCATGTCACTTCCTGCCTTGTAATCATTGGTCGTATGTTACATATTTTCTCCATTAAATATTGGGCCAGTAGCTAATGGTCACTAACTAATAGCACACAGATCTGAAAAGTAATTTACCTTGACTAAGTAAAACTAAAATGCGATCCAGACCTCACACATTGCATCTTTCAGCACGCAAACAAACACACCACTTCCCTTTGTTTATGTCCAATGGCCTGATGAAGAAATGCACGCTCAGCAGGATTGGGATGCTGTAGCAGCGGGGCGGCTCGGTTGCCGTGGCAGCATGTGGAGGTGGGTGGTTGCTGTGGCAGCAGGGGGGCAAGGAGATGACGTAATGCTCTCATGGGAAAAAGCAGCTGGTCAGAAGTAAATTACCTGACTTCCCTTTTTCCCAATCTCTTTCTCCGTCACCGTGACTGTTCCACTTTAAAAATTAAAACAGATTATGGGAACATAGTGTCCCAGTGCACAAACAGCTGTTTTTACTGTGGCTCTATTCGCTTTAGTCTGCTGCTGAGTTTGGTTGTCTCTCCATGTCCACAATCTACAGACCTCACTGTAAACAGTTTCTATCTGGACTATTTATTACTTAATGAACTGCCTCATAGATATTTTTTTTAGATTTATGTTAAAGACTGCTCATTGTCAAGCTTGCTGACATCCTGCCGGCTCGCATTAATGGCATGAAAATAATTCATTGTGGATTTTCAATAATGGGGGTTTTGTCCGAATGGATGGCACTATTTTAATGTGGAGTAATTTGGTGTGATAAATGTCATCTGTAGCCAGCTCAGAAGCAAGTACTTATTATGTGACCTTTAACTCTGGGTAGTTTCAGTTTAATGTCTGCATATACCAGCATGATAATTAGAACTCACATAACTGTAGTTACATACTAACTTTGACCTTTTTGGGGTCCAAGTTGGGGCAAGGAAAACAAAACAAATATCTGACCCAACAGCAATAATGGCTCACAAGTCATTGTCAGAGGGGCACGGCCAAGTACATCAACCCACATTTTTTCAAGTCCAAGCGTTTACCCTTTAGTCCATGTCAATTCTATAGGAATAATAATTACTATATAGTTATCTACTTCATTAATAATTAGGTAAATAACCATATTTAAAATACGACAATAACCGTAACCTAATTTTCAGTTAGGCTAAAACCGTATCATCAACCAATAACAGCTCCTAATCCCTCAGTCCACCTAATGTATAGATCTCACAAAGAGACAAGTTCAAGTCCAGTGTCAAGTCACTGTTCATGCCACTTAAGTCAGATGTCCAAGTGCCCATCGCTGCACAACACCAATAAATTCTCTCAAAAACAACGGTTCCAAACAAAGTGACATGTTTCACGGAATATTTGTATTTTAACAAATAAAAAAATAAAAAACAATACCTCCATGGTCGCAATTCACTGCCTGAGAAAGCGTCTATGTCTTGAAGGTGTGAATTCAAGTAAACTGCTTTCCATACACACATGATCCAATTCTCCCACCTTTATCAAGCAGCTATGCATTTTGCCGTTGTTAACAAACCATTAAACCAACATTTTTATTTTTATGTTGAGTATTTTATTGTTTTATTCTCCAAAAGTGATAATAGGGAGGAAGCTGGATTGACTGATGTTCATTTTCCCTACCCTGTTTTTGTTTTTCAACCCTCCACCCCCCCTGCCGTCTATTATTATTATTATAGTATTTGTTCCTCTTTCCTTCATTGCTGCTTTATTTTCTCTGCCTGATGTCCTCGGCTCTCTGCTGTGTCTCCTCCTCCCTCCCCACAGTCTCTCTGTATTATCTTTGAAAAAATGTAATGGGCTTTTTAATTGTAAGTGAATTTACCAGAGCTGCTATGATGCCTCCCCCCTAGCTCCTTTCTCTATCCCGGCCCCCCCCCCCCCCCCCCTCCCTACTCTCTCTCTCTCTCTCTCTTGCCTAGTAACAAGTAATACAAGAAGGGATTTTCTTTATCAACATTATTACAAGTTTACATTCATGTTACATCTCCACCTTTAGCTTCAGGGTTTAGTGTTGTGTGGCAGAAATGAAATAAATTAATCATCAACACATTCAGGGACAGATTTCCTGTTAATTAGAGATTGATTATATATTTCAGTGGATTTTCTAAGGACACAATCTTGTTAGTTCTTTTGTCAGTTTTGCTGGGGAAAATTCTCAGCTATGACGAGTTCGAGGTAACGTGTCCTTCTATTACCGATGCCTCCTATTCTTTCATCATATATGTTTAAAGTTCTAAGATAATGACATGTATTTTCCGGAGGAGTTGAACAATGGATAAAATGAATATTTGGTCAAGATTACACAAGATCACACTTTTTTGCTTCCGCACAATGAAATCTTCAGCACAGTGATGGAACTTTGAAGATTGCGTTTCTGTATTCTTCTCTATTTACTGCAGGTTCTATTCTCCATGAGACATGTCAATGATCATCACACACACTTCACTGCCTCTCAAATAGCTCTTAAAGCACTTTGAAACTTACGTTCAACCTTGTCTCTTACAAATGTCTCAATACAACTAAACTGTGCCGTCTATTACATTTCTAGGGCAACATCTCCTGGATGACCGTCATGGTTTTGAACACCTGGTTAACCTAACATGCATGAATTAAAAACTTTTAGTCCCATTTGAAACACGTGTGCACTTTGAACAAGATGTTGTGTTCAAAGTCAGAATCACACTATTTACATCACAGTTAGAAATGACTTCTTTCATCCATCATCATCCATCTCCCTCCTCCCCTGTATCACTTTGCCCATCCTGTGTTTGAAGTACTCGGCTCTCTGCGGACCAAATGCGAGTAGCTTTAGGTGAAGTTAATGAAGGGAGGCAGGGGGAGGGAGGCAGGGAATGCTAATTGCTCCCCATATCGTCAAAGATCAAACTGATGACAAACAGGTTGGAGTTCCTCATTTTCCAGATGGGTTACACCCACATTCTAGCATAAGGAAATGATTGAAAGCCCAGACATAGCGTTAGTGGTAACCTTGAAGTAGACTGGGATGGATGCATGGGCATTTTAAAAATGAGTCAACAAACACAAACAATAATCAGCTGGTGTCCCATCTTATTTACTAAAGATACCCTGATGCCTTCTTGCTACTGAATGCACTAGAATGAGTATCTTTTCAGGCTTATTTCATATGTACATCATTAAGACGCTCTGAATGCAAAGCACACAGAGGGAGATTGATTCCATTTTCTGATCAGGTAGACATTACTCGGATATATCTTTACATCCCGAATGGTTGCCACATTAATGCCCTGTCGGATTTACCATCTTCTAGGGAAACTACCGTTTATAAATCTTGGGTATGTCTTCGTCAGCCACTGATTATTAACTGTTGTCATAACTGAACTGTTGAAAAATAACCCAATAGTGGCAGAGCCGTTATACACACTGGGAGCAAAAGGCGTCTTTTACATGAATGATATCGCTGACCCGATGGAAGGCACAAGTGCAATTTCATATTGCATTCAGTGGAGATTGGCATTTCCGCTGGGGGCACTTAGTTGCTGGTACTCTCACCGGATGTAGACTGTGGGACTCAAGCTGCGTTCTCCTCCCTTTCTGCTGTCTGCACTATCTATATTTGCAAAGGGCACCTTCGCTGCATCTTGTGTCTAGCACCACCCGGGACTATTAATTGGGTTAAATAAAAGCAAGCAAACCACGTTTTTCCCCCCTATACCATAATGATAACGTATGGAGCAAGCAGAAACGTTTGTCGATGCAGAGGTGTCTTAAACCTGTATTCTGACCAGCAGGGGGCGACTCTTCTGTTGGCAAAAATAAGTCTGAACGTATAGAAGTCAATTAGAAAATGACTCTTCTTCTCTTGTGATTTACTCTCTCAGTAACCATTGTAAATGTGGGTTTATGGTCTTAATCTCAATTTTTCAGTCTTTTTCAGTTAGTAAATTATTGTTAATTTAGAATAAATAAAGAGTATGCTTCAGGGCGGACGTCCTGTGATTGATGCCAGAGACGTAGAGGATGGGGTAGTATTGGATAACTTTTAATAAAACTTGTATGTGTATTGCAGATCTATCGACGTTGCTGGCTGGTGTTCAAGAAGTCCTCGAGCAAAGGCCCCCGTCGTCTGGAGAAATACCCTGATGAGAAGTCTGCCTACATCAGAGCCTTTCCCAAGGTAGCTGTGTGTGCGTATGACAGGTATCTTCTGTTCTGCAGGAGAAAACCAAAGTGAAAGAGTCACAAACACACACCGACAGGGATGAAAATCTTTGACCTTCACATAAAAGACCTCCTGAGCTCAGAAGAATCAGCAATCCTTCTTCTTCTTGCTCTGCTCCTTTTTTTCACTCCTTCTCTCAGAGAACTCACTCGTTTGTCGTTCTTCTTCCTTATCATCACTTCTCCTTCACTTGACCTCCTGCTTTCTCACTTAATGTCCTTCAACACGCCCCAGGGGCTTAAAGTGAAGCTGTAGAGTGAATTCTTTAATCCTTTTTTCCCCCAGGTCATTTCCTTGTAAGCACAATTATAGAACGTGTGAAAGGTTTCACAGAGGGTTTCACTTTTTTACAAGACGGTATTTTTGTACTGTTTTATTTCATTCAGTGTGTGAGAACAGCTTAAGTGGGAACGTAGTATAAGCCCAATACTTTTTTCATTTAATTACACTTCGACTGAATATAACGAGAATCTTCTCACTTTGTTTTATTCGCACAAATTTCCCAACCGTGATTGGTTATTTTTGGAGTCACATTCAGGTGATCTAACCTCGTCAATGCAGAACGTTAACCAGAATTCTACTGCTGTATTCACCCAATTCACAAAAAGGACTTTGTCAACCATTTTACCTTTAACCCGTTGCCCAGGTGACAGAGATTAGCAACGTCAAGAATATCACGCGGTTGCCGCGAGATACCAAGAGACAGGCGGTGGCCATTGTGTTTACTGACGACACCGCGCGCACCTTCACCTGTGAATCAGGTAACGCATGGACACTCTCTCTCACACACACACACACACACACACAACTCGTCAGCGGCGACTGGTGGATTTTCTATTTTGGTAGGGCCGGCCATCAGTTTCAGTAAACAGTAGGATTCAATGCATAAAAAGGTATCAAACACGCATTATTACTTTTAATATTTTATTTATTTATATAAAGTCTATTAGAACATACATATGTATATTGAGATGCACCTACGAACCTAGTTTGTTGGGGAAAGACCAACTCAAAAGCACCACATAACTTCACACAATTAATTATTTGGGATAAAAGGTTTTCATCCACATCCCGGGTGTGTGTCCTCACAGCGGGATCTGGTTCCAGCTGTTTTACCTCTCGTTTCTTGTCGCTCCAGGTGGGGCCACGCCCCAATGCCCTCTACGGACCAGCCGCCACTGTGACTCGTACACTCACCCACACACAAGCAGACAGATTGACAGCTCTGTATTTCCAGGCCACAACCTTGAATTACCTCTCAACAAAACACCAAGCTGCAAAACACGCATCCCCGTACACACAAGTTTAGAGGACAGCGCAACATTGTGTTAAATACGTTGCTTTAGTGGATGAAAAGACTGATGTCACACATGCCTATGGGTGAAGAACAGAACTAGTGTTCTGGGACCCTGTTTAGCGTAGCTTAGCATAACCACCGGGAAGAAAGGGGAATGGCTGGCGATGTTCGGTCCCAAGTTAAAAAATACACCTGTCATCGCCTCCAAGAGTCCCTGATTGGTCATGTTTGTTCCAGATGTACATAAACTACAGGCGCGTTCCTGGTTTCAAAACTCCGCCAATCACTCCTAATAGCTCGTCGAAGCATCCCAGCATCAGCAGTCTATTACTGAATCTTACAGACACAAACCACACTGATGGCATGAAGTTAAAGTTAAAACACTCAACAAAGCCCCATTATTAATGGACATGGCTGAAATCCGGTCCTCATAGTCGACAAGCCGAAGTTGTATTGGGGCGCTCGCTCCTTTTGCTTGACGCACGCTCCCGATCTTGAATCTAGAATCGATTGCTCTTCCTTGGGGGCCCGGATGTTGCGGTTTGAATTTTTTTGCATTGAATTTTTGCATTGAATTTTTTTGCATTGAATTTTTGCATTGAATTTTTTTGCATTGAATTTTTTTGCATTGAATTTTTTGCGGTTGAATTATTTAATGTTGAAAAACATTCAGATACATGATTTCAATGCATAAATATTCAGTGCTAGAAATTCAATCACCTTTTTCTTTCAAAATCCGATGACACAGATTTACTTCCATAATAAACAGACCTGCAATTGTGAATTGGAAGTGCGTCACATGTGCAGCTTTTGATAAAATGATTAGTCTCAAAACATCTGCACGAAGAGGTCGTCATTTAACCACTTGGATTCTTTGTTGCGAGACTGATTCTAGTAGTGATAAATCTCTCTCTCTACAGAGCTGGAGGCAGAGGACTGGTTTAAGACGCTGTCAATTGAGTGTCTGGGGACACGGCTCAATGACATCAGCATGGGAGAGCCGGACCTCCTGGCTGCTGGAGTGCAGTGTGAACACACAGGTACTGCACACACACATACACACTAACACACGAAAGCAAACATGCAGAGTAGAGACTTTCCTGTATCTGAAACAAAGTTGTTCCTCTGTCCCCTCAGAGCGCTTCAACGTCTTCCTCCTACCTTGCCCCAACCTGGACATCTACGGGGAGTGCATGATGCAGATTACCCACGAGAACATCTACCTGTGGGACATTCACAACCCTCGCACCAAACTGGTCACCTGGCCGCTCTGCTCCCTGCGGCGCTACGGACGCGACGCCACACGCTTCACCTTCGAAGCCGGGAGGTGAGACCCGGAGATGGGGTGACAGGGGGAGGAAGTGGGGGCGTGATGGGATTTGGTCGCTGGCTCTCCATGGATACATGCATGTACAGAACTTTATCATGGTATGTTTTTTAAAAGGAAACAGGCATTTGCATGGATCCTATTTTCCCGTGTTATTGTGTGTGACTGATGGGGGAACTCTTTTAAATTGGTCCGGTATTGAGAAAGAATACTGAAAATAAATCCTCATATCTTTAAAAGGGCTTGTTTTTGACAGTGACAGGCTCACATTGTTAATATCAGCGTCTGGGAACACCAAAACCTTTAACCGTCGGGCTCTGAGAAGTCTTGTTTAAATCAACTTGTGGTTTGAGCGGGGAGCGAGGAAAAAATCAAATAAGGGACTTGACTCTCACTCTGGTTTCCACCACAAACAATAATAAAGCACTTTGACGCTGCAGTATGATTACTCTCCCTCAACCCCCGACCAGTTTACAAAACTGACCAAATCTCTACATTCGTCACTGAGACAAAAAGAACAGAAACCAAAGTGTGCTCTTTGTCAGTAAGCGTCAGTCCAAGGATACCTCTCTCCCTCTCTCCCTCTCTCTCTCTCTCCCTCTCTCCCTCTCTACCTCTCTCTGATTGATTGAATAGATTAGACGATGAATCAATGCTGGGTGAGACCTCCTTATCTCCTCCGCTTTGATAAAACCGGTCGACCTACAATTGGGTCTGGATGCAGATAAAGGTGTTCGCTGTGTGTGTTTGTGTGTGCTTGTTTGTGTGGTGAGAGAGACCCCTGTCTGTGGGTGTCTTGTACTGCGTCACCCCAGAAGACAGTGTGCTGTTTGCGGTGTATGAGGCACATTGCTGCTAATGAACTAAAATCCAATACTGAAGAAATACGGTTTGAAACATGTTAGTTCACCAAAGAGTATTATGAAGTGTTAAGTCATCTGAGAAATCGTCATTTAATGGCAACGGAATATGATTACGGCTCATCACATGGGGAAATGAGATAAATCAACTGACCTCAGGTCAGGTCCTTATTGGACTTTATTCTTGTAATATTGACATAAAGAGCTCACAGATGGATCAGTCTCTTCTACACACTGAGATGTACTGCTGATTAAAATAAACACTGGTATAGAATCACGGCATCAACTGTTTATTAGTTTGTGAATGCCAAAACCAAATTTGATCAATTTATCGTGTCTTTCTTTGGATGGAACCGGATGAACTACAAACAAAAGAACTTTTGACTTATTGTATACAATTTTAGCTTTGGATACAATGTGGCTTAAAAAAGACAATACTTCTATGTCTCCAGGGGGACGCTGAATCACTTCCTGAATCCTACACTAATTCATTTATAGAATGTGTAGAGGGAGTAGGAGCTTATGGTTTTCCAGATAACCCTCCTTTATGCTGCATTGGCGATTCTGACCTGTGCGGTTTTGCACAATGCCTTCAAACGGACTTGCTGTTGTGTGTAGGATGTGTGACAGCGGTGAAGGGCTCTACACTTTCCAGACCAGAGAGGGAGAGCAGATCTACCAGAGGGTCCACTCTTCTACGCTGGCTATTGCAGAGCAGCACAAGAAGGTCCTGCTGGAGATGGAGAAAAACAGCAGGGTGAGAGCCTGTCTACAGCGTGGTGGAGACCAAAATGGAGTGAATAGTGGTTTTACATCCCAATGAATGTTAATGTTGCTTTTTGGAAATACTCAACTACTCAACTTGTTGCAGTGAGTTATAGACCTAAAGTTGTGTCAGTTCTCTACCAAAGCGAGTTGCATGCTATGAGGCACTTATCAATATGCAGAGTTTTACCTACAGAATATAGACAGGCATGCCAGCTTTTTGCAGAAACAAACCGGACCAATATTCAACTACAAGTTCTAATTTAATTTATTTTGGGTGACTTTGGTAATTCCGTGCCGATACTCCTTTCTGTTTGTACAAACTGGAGGGGGTGCAGAATCCCCCATCGACTATAGGCATACTGATTATGTATGAGTACCTCATACAAATATCTGAACTACACCTTAAAACGCTGTGTGTTGATCTTTCATACTTGAAATGAAATTACCAATCTAGGATGCTCTTTTTTTAATTCCTGATGTTGTGTTGTGCGACTCTCAGTTGATGTCCATGGGTTCAGAGCCTTGCTCCTACCCCTGCACCCCCACCGCCATCCTGCCCCGATCCGTCTACTGGCACCACATCACTGGAAACCAAACCGGCTTGGATGGCAGCGGTAGGCTCCTGCACAGCTATCATTCATCTATTGTCTTTCTTATTAAGACTTATTGCATACTATGTACAGTTCTAATGCATTGCAACACCTCTGGTCACGGTTTAAGTAGAAACTTAAACGTGAAATAAAACGTTTAATACAAGTAATGTTTCTTACTTAGAATCTGATTACCAAAAGGTCTTTTGGCTTTAGTTGTGTAAATGGGTGTTGCTTTCATAAAAAAAGAAAAAATACCAAGAATTACTTAATTAAACTTTGTTTTTGCTTTTATCAACCTCAGGTCTTAGTATTAAATACATCTATCTTAACAACTATAAAGCACTGGGGGGCTCCCCAGTGCTTTATGGACTGCATGGGGCCTTAATAGCACCTAGTGGACTATGCTATCATTGGAAATAGGCTGACATAGAGGATTTCCCATGTACCAGCTGCCTTGGTTGTGTCCATTGTGATAAAAGCACACCAGCAGTAGCCGGAGCTTCTGCTGTAAAAGCCGTGTTTATCCTCTGTCTGTAGGTGATGCTGCTGAGGACGACCTGCTGTCCACCCGCCTACCACTCGACCATCATGCCACGCTGCCCCTGGCACACGCACACTCCCAGCCTCACATACACACACAATCACCGACACACTACCCCACCTACCCTAGACAGTGACACACACACACACACATGCACGGAAGAAGAAACGGACGTAGAAGCAAGGACAAATAAAACCAATGCGGATACATGCATGCAGGCCCACACAATTCACACACAAAGACTGAGAGAAAGACACATTGTCCCCTCCTTATTTAAGTTTTAGAGGCCAACGACACACCTCGCTGGAGATGATGTCCATGGGACTTACACTGGCCAATAGAAGATGGTGAATGCACGAGGGGAAAACTAAATCCAGTGAAAGAATGCAGGAAAATTCCTTCCTTACATGACTGCAGCTCCTACAATTCAACAGAAGGCGGGGGACATGGGGGGAGAGGGTGAGGGGAATTTGTGCTTATCCGTGCTCAGGGTGAGGAAATTGGCTTGTGTTGCCTCCTGTTCAAATGTACAATGTGTGGGATCTGGCCGAAATGAATTCAAAATAAAAGAAAACACGCAAAAAAATGATGAACCCGAAGAGCAGAATGTGTAGAGGGGGTGCTGAGTGCAAGGAAGTCTACAAATTGTGTTGCATGCTAACAGGCTAGCCCCGGCCGGTCCCGTCTTGTAATACTACTTGTACCTGGAGAGGCGATAGTGTGGGTCAATGTAGCGTGGCGTCCTTTCTGCCCTCAGTCAAACATGAGAGGACGATGAAGAGGAGCTACGCCGAGGGCTTGTCAATCACACAGGCCTTCAGTTAGCTGCTATATCGGATTTGAGCAGCTAAAAAAAAAAAAACAGTGCCGGAAGTCACAATTAGGCCAGAGGAGTGCTGGGTCTAACTTGTGTAACGAGCACTATGTTCTCTTATCCGGCGGGGCAGTCCCCTGGAATCAGTCGACCCGGGTTAGCATTGGTAAAATTACAGTTGCTGCAGCTCTGCTACTTTGACAAAGGAAGGTCTACTGCACACTCCCCCTGCGGAGTAGTAGTGTCTGAGTTGTTTTCTTGTTTCTGCCACTCTAGATTTCATCAAGCAAACCACTAAAGCGCACACAGACCGTATTGCCCCTGGTTAGCGGCACAGTGACCACAAAGTTGGCTTTTATTTTTCAATAACCGAGGACTGCATCGACAAAGTAGAATAGGAGGCGGGCTGCCACCTATTTGTTTGGAGCAAGTGGGCCAGAAGTTACCGATTGAGAGATTGACACTTTTAGTTATGTTCAAGCGCAAGTTTCTCACCCCACTGGACTGCATGGGGCCTTAATAGCACCTAGTGGACTGTGCTATCATCGGAAATAGGCTGACATAGAGGATGTACCAATGCCAGCTGAAACACTTGTTCGAAGAATACGTGATCATTGTATGTTTGTGTCCGGATCAATGCCTTCGATTTAGCTAGAGTTTCTGAACCTCGGGTTAAAACTTTATATGGATTATTTTTTATTGATTTGTTCCTTTACTGAACTGGATATTCAAACTCAAGTTGCATACGCAAAAAATGTGAAGTGAAGTTCACCCCTGCGTTACTTGTACGGATTCTGCCGTCACATTTCATCACACCAGGCAGAAGTAACCACTCATTCTTCTTTGTAGATGTTGTGGAATCACACAGATCATTAAAAAACAATCTTAGTTATTTAGTTCATAAGGGGATGATTGGGAGGCGCTCGGTGAATTTGATCAAATTGTATTCACTGTATCTAGAAACCCACACATTGGCTGGTTTAATATATTATTTAATTTTCTGGGATTAATTGCAATAAACCTGAAACACGGATGCCAAAATGACAAATACTGATGCAGATTTAGAAAGAAGAGTTAAGCAAGAAGACACAAACAACTTTTACATTTTTAATGGACTTTGTATCTATCAATGCATGGCTCTCCTAACTTAGTGGCTATTCCAGCAACACTCAAAATAACAAAATCTAGAAATTTATACAGCAGAAACAATATTATATTATAAACTACGGTTTAAACACAAAGAGTCCTGGGACAAATATGATGTACCATCGTAGAGTTCACTGTGTACAGACAGCCATCTTCAAATCCGCTTTTTCTACATACAGGCTCTTTCATTCCCTTAATTTGCGTCGCTCAGCACCAGTTTCCAACCTTTGCATTGACTATGTTTGCAGGTCACTTTACGTTTGGTGTGAACACACCAGCAGAGCTTTTGAACCAGCTAGCCAAATTAGGACAGGGAGGTGATCATACAAGGGAGTCTAACCCTCCCATAGGTTTTAAGGTTAATTTCGCCCTAAGGGTTTATACCAGAGCAGAAATCGAGCATATTACAAGAATATTTGGGCCAATCAAAGGGCACTTGGATCGATCACAGAAGATCTTTGGCTCACCACCGAAATCACACAAAAGATAATTCAGCTTTGTGTATGTGGCCTATTTCTGAAAAATGGTGTTGCTTCAACTAAGTCCAATTTAGTCTGGGTGACAGATGGTATGATTCTAATGTATCTCCACTTTGGATCAAATGTTGGGCTATAATTTCAGTCACTGACTGAAACAATGAGATCTGGGAACACAGCAACATCCCTCCAAAGTAGGCCTCTATTGTCAGTCCATCGGACAATTAAACAAGCCTTAGACAAACCCAAACCCAACCTATTTGGAAGAGATAATAAAGATTCATGTAAAATTGTTGCCTCAAGTGTTTAATCATACTTTGACAAACCGTGCTCCACTTTAGAGTTCTGACACCGGATTAGAAGTGGTCAAGTCTCTACAGTGTATCATTGTTAGATTTGGTTTAGGTCCGTTTGCCCAAGTGGTACTTGGGCAGGGGGCAATCTCTGGTTTTGAAATAGTGAAGCCAATGCAGAAGTGCCTTACACTTGCATTCTTGCTAATGGCTATTCGGGGGTGAACTCCTCTGGTTGCAAAAATAAGTCAGATTGTCTATAAGAAAATGATCCTACTTTTCGATCGATTTATGTCCATAGTGAAGATATAGTTTAAACAATAGTTTATGGTCTTAATTGCCAGTCTTCTGCATTACAGTGTGATCATTGTGACCTTTAGACCGTAACAAGTATATGCTTTAGGGCAAGGGTACCTTGTGATTGGCAGGTTGCTAACAAGCCATTTTCCAGTTTGGAGGTTGTGTGTGTCTTCATCTCAGAATTCTAACCATTTCTCAGTGTGTTTTCAGGGCATGAAAGTTAACCGTAACGTTTTGGACTTTTCTGAACTACTGTCTTTTGTCACTTACGGTTGTAAAAAAAAAACAAGATGCCGTAGTCCACGGTATTGACAAAACGTTGAGTCCCATCCTTTCTCACGTGTAGTCTTTTGGTCTTGGGACCGGTTGTGTTGGGCTATTTTTAACGTACTGTACTCTAATATTTATCTCTCACTCTAATAGTTTTATTTTATGTTGTGTTGTACACACACAGCCTCTTTTCTTTTTTTGGTCTGCTGCCATGTTCCAAGATTTAATCAATAATTCTGGTGAGTACAAGAAGGAATTTAATTGTTAAAGGTTAAACGTTTCAAAAAGTCTGAATGTAAGGCCTATATGTTAAGAAAACCAGAAATGTCCTTCAATGATTCCCTCTTGCAAAAGGTGGCATGGCACCATTAGCATCTTAGAAGGTCAGAGTCTTTCTAAATGCAGTATTGACAAACGCGGTTGTCATTGAGACAAAGTGTGTCATAAATCAACCCTGTCTCACTCTCAACTCGCCAAATCCCAACGCACCGATGAAACTTTTTCTATCTTTCTTTTGTAGTCCCTATAGGATCAACCAAACAACCAGGTCATACACGTCATCCCTTAACACGGACTCCAGTTTTGAATCTCGATTTTCTATTCAGACTTTAAACAATGAGCAGTGAATGAAATAGTAAGTCTTGTCCAGCATATTCGCTGGCTAATGTAGTAACATGCGGAAACTGACAAGCCATCCCCCGACAAGTCCGAAAGGGATGCTTAGAGGGGTACCTAACGCCTCTTAGTTCAATAGTGTATGGCCACTGGCCAAGCGTCTGTGTTTGATGAGTTGGGCCGGAGAATTTTAGAAGAATAATTAGGGGAGGACACTGAACCAGATCTTTAGCTGACCCTTATATTGATGGTGATATCGATTGATGTAGATATCGGCATTCATTTTCCTGTTGCATCCCTGTATGAATGTTTCTTAGGTCCATTTCTTTCCATCGTGACCTAAATTTCTTACCTCCACTGCTTACCCCGAGAGCTGTGCGGTCGACCACTGGAGGAGCCTGTCAAAAGAGATCCGGTTGTCTTCTCTTACACTGTATGTATGACAAGGTCCCGGGCCAGTCATTTTTCCTGTCCTTCAGAGGCGAGGTAGAGGTGGGAGGAAGAGGATTAGAAACATGGGCTGCTGGAAAAAGAAAAGTTGGATCACATTTTTCCTCAACTGAGGGCTCACATGGGATATATCCTATAAATGCTGCCTTTTGATTTGGTCAAGACTGGGTTCAAGACTGTTAATATGACATTGGAGATTTAACCACAACAATGTGACGTCTGGGAACACACCGACCCCCTTCACGACATCGTTGTGAAATCCCTCGTATCTGGATTGGGTCTGGATCTGACATAGCTCAATTAATACTGGAATCCTTGTGCAACTTAGATTTTATATATATAGATTTTTTTTTTAATTTTTAAGTCATACTTACATGAGAGGGCTAAGCATTCTGTTGTTTGTTTAGATTACCCAAGTTGTGTATTGTGTGTAGAATTTTTTTGTGTACCTATGTAATCTATACGTTTTGTACATATTGCTATTTATTTCTTATGGAATGTATGTGTTAATTTGCGTGTGTGTATGTGCATGTGTTTGTGTGCGTACGGTAGAGAGAGAGAGAGCGCCTGAGATGAGGGATAATTGGAATGTTTAATATACTGACTGATGGTTTTTTTTTACAGTGTAACGTTGAACAGGCAGACTATAACCGGTCCATAGTTTGTCAGCGTGTCGCTTCACACATAAATGCCGCTAAGTGAACAAAAGCATATTCACACTCCTGTCTTCTGCACCATCCCGTCTCACATAGCATTAGTCTTTTTTGCCTTTTATTGGTGGCCATCAAATGCTGATATTTGTTGAGATATTTCACTGCCAACCAAAGTGGTGGACTGACCCAACCTCATCTATGAGACAATTTCCTGGATAAAAAAGCCTGACGTCTTGCTTCACAACTGTTGCTTTGTAAAACACCCGTCTGGATATATAAGTGGAAGAAGGATGTACACTGGGAGCGCCGCCAATCTTCATTCCAGCAGCCGACAGTTCTCGTCACTGTTTGTGGTTGTAGTGTGATGACACTGACTGTCAACCCCCGCCAACGGATACGACCTCCCCTTGTGAGGGATGTCAAGATGTTTTCTCACTTATTTACGGTCGACACCAAGTGCATGTTTTGTAGAGAAATTAAGTCCATTAGTTACTTAATGGTAGCTCTCCATGGTGATGTCAATCCTTTGACTGTGATTTTGTTAATGCTTTTCCTTTTCTTTTCTTTTTCTAACGATTGGCACATGTATAATATTGCACATAAAGTTGAAATATTCAGTCCATGTTTATTTGGTATGTAAAAAAGCTGGTAAATTTATAATAAATGAATGAATGAATGAAAGATGTTCCTGGAGGTATAAGACCCAGAGAGAATTTGAACGCTCCACCCTAATGAACTTTTTTGGCCTTTTTTAGCTGTTGTTTTTCATTAATGCTTGTTATCATATTTCTTTTTGTTGACCCTATTAGCGCGCGAGTCAACATGATGATGCTCAGATAAGTCCCCCGTATATTACCTGCTCAACAGCAGGGAATTACAGTACTGGCTGTTGCCAGGAGGCCCCCAGCTGCTCTGACAACAATGTATGAAATTTATATTGACTTTATGTCAGTGGTGGTTGTTGCAAACACACCTGTTCAGAGATCTGCACTCAACTGAGGGCACTTTTAGTTGTTTAACTTAATCACAAAGTAAGTTGAGTAGGCATGGTTGTTGATTTTCAACCAGTAGACAAAAACTGATATGGATCGACTTATAATAGAAACCACAAATAATCCCTTTCAATCAGCACTTGGGACCCTGTGTGGCAGGTCTACTCATCCTACATTTCATATTTCCATTTTACTCTGCTGACGTTTATTCTCTATGGGGGGGGGATATGTTGCTGATTTTTAATCAAATCAAAATGGGGCGTTAATAATTGATACATTGTTTTATACATTTGTTTTATTACCAAATATGCCACTTCAGTAATGTAATGTAAGCGCTTAACTCAAAATGCATCTATAACCATCACATGATATGTGCATGATAGAGCAAAAGTAGTCATCATGCACATTATGAAGCTCGACCCTTCAAAAAAACATCACATGATTTAAATGGTGTATAAATAATAATCATTGAAATGTGGTGGAGGGACGCTATAAAACGAGGTATTTGAGAAAAAGAAATGTGACATCGCATCCGGTTACTGCTTGTCGGTGGTGCGCTGTTAAAGAAAAGAAAACGTAGAATGGAAGCGCGCAGCCGAACATTTGAACCCACGTGCGTCACCGCACGCGGCGGGTCGCGAGTCGAACGTTAAGGTGCAAAGAGGATTCTTCCAGCGGGACGAGCTCATCGCACCTGGAGACTCCGCCCTGCGAGACACGGACACTGCGAGAGACACAGCCGGACAAGCCGGACCTCGAGACTACGTCAAAGCCAAGTGAGCGAGCAGGGGACAGACGGACGGGGAGATAATAACGTGTGAAGTTTATGTATAAAGTTACAACTAAATATGAGTACACGTTAACTGTTATTATATATAACTTAAAATACTTTTAAACTTTAAACGTTTTTAGTGGGATAGTTATAACAAAGACAGAGCATCTCAATTGAATGAAACATATAAAACATCGCTAGTAAATTAAAATGACAATGCATCTCTAAATGAGTATGAGCATATAATGTATATCATGTTGTGTCTCCTTAAAAGTGTGACAGAAATCCAGTAACAACCAGAAAGCAGTAGACACGGTCCTGCTTCTTCTGCTGGACATAAAACATCTCTGCACGCAATGGACGCCAGTGAGTTCGATCGTTTAACCGCCAGCATGAGCGAGACAGAGATTCTCAGCACTCTCTTTGCAATGATGGAGGAAATGTTGGCCGAAATGCCCAACACTCCTCCTCCTGCTCCTCCTGCTCCTCCGGCTCCTCCGGCTCCTCCGGCTCCTCCTCCTGCTCCTGCTGCTGCTGCTCCTGCTCCCCCTGTAGCTTCTGGGCTGGTACTTAACACCAAACCTCAGCCAGGATACGCTGCACCTGCACATCCCGCTAAGTTTCAGCAGCAAAGGTCCATCGTGTCTAATGAGGACATGTGCGATGGAGCTGTCTGTGCAGGCGACATCGGGCAGCGTCAGCCGGAATTAGCTCTACCCGTTGAGGCCACACTTCCACCAATGGCCTCCACTCCAAAGTATGTTTATTTTGGAAAGTTTTGTATCAAAATGTACATTGGTTTTTTTTTTTACTTCCGTGTGATCTGTGGCCATATATAAGCCAGAATATTTATTGAATGTCATCTTATAGTTAATGGGAAGCTGCTATCGTTAAATTCCTGGTGTTATTTATTTACCAATATACCAACATGAATAATATCACAATTAAGACTCTTTTAATGGGTTTTTGATTTACCAACGCGTAATTCTTTTGCACAGTGCTAACAGGAGTTCTTACTTTCTCACTCCAATTTCTTTTTTTTGGCCTGTAGAAAGACAAAGTCCGACTGCAAACAGGAGGGCGACCGGCCGTACACAAAGAAGCCCCTGAACGCCTTCTTTGTCTTCAGCAGGGAGAACAGGGCATCATTACTCCTTAATGTCAAAGGGAGCGGGAGCAAAAATAAAACCTTGGGCCGGATGGTAAGTGTCTCCTCTGGAGGCTTGAGACACCATCAGGTTTTCCACAGCCAAGTTAAAAAAAAAGGTTTTCACATCTGTGCATATGTTTGTCACGGGGGTCTGGAAGTGAGGACTCGGACGCAGAGTTAAGGTTCAGTAGAGGTTTTTATTGTCCAACAAAAAACGCAAGGACGACCCTGGAAACGAAAAACTTCTCCGAAGAGAGAAAAATGGAAAATGCTCCAGCAGAACTGAGCGTGCGGATTTGAGGAAACGAAAGAAAAAGCCAAACTCTCGCTTATCGAGGAAATAACAAAAAGTCAATCTATTGAAGGCACTTAACAAACGTGAGGAGCTGTAGAACTACAAAAGGCTCGTGATCACCTATGGGGATCTCCAGGTGGCTCAGCAAGAGCATTAACTGTGACCTGGGCTTGAATCCTTCCTGGGGCGGGTGTGCACGGCAAAAGGACGTAACACACTGGTGTCTGTTAGTATGTCTTCATGCTGGTGCTTTGTGTACTAACGGCGTGCCGTCGTCTGTTCACAGTGGTTGTTGCTGACAAGCGAAGAGAAGGCCAAACACGTAGACATGGCCAAGAAAGAAAGACAGCAGCACGCCCTCAAACACCCCAACTGGTCCTGCAGGAACAACTATGTAAGCTCTTCCCTCGCTGTTTTGCAACACAACACTGAGGGAGGAAAAACAATGATGTGTTGTTGTTTTTTTGTGCAGGGCAAAAACAAGCATAAAAGGAGCAGGCGTCGCTCCAGAGTTGAAGGTATGTTTTTTAATGTGAGTAGGTGATCAAAACACTCCACAAAAAGTGACTAGTTTGAATCACACATCGTTAAATTACATGGACTTTACAAACAGGAAACAAACCTTGTCTAGTCACAGTGACAGATGGGACCCATTCAAATGAAATGCTCATTCAGCTGCTTGTTTTTTGTTGTTTATGTGCAGCGGCCAAGAAGCAGTGTCTGTCACCAGCATCTGTACAGGGTTCCTCCTACTCGCAAACATCTGTACAGGGGCCCTCCTACTCACAAACATCTGTACAGAGGCCCTCCTACTCACAAACATCTGTGCAGGGTCCGTCACACTCACAAACATATGTGCAGGGACCCGCTTACTCACAAACATCTGTGCAGGAGCCTGTCTACTCACAAACATCTGTGCAGAGGCCCTCCTACTCACAAACATCTGTGCAGGGGCCGTCACACTCACAAACATATGTGCAGGGACCCGCTTACTCACAAACATCTGTGCAGGAGCCTGTCTACTCACAAACATCTGTGCAGAGGCCCTCCTACTCACAAACATCTGTGCAGGGGCCGTCACACTCACAAACATCTGCGCAGAGGCCCTCCTACTCACAAACATCTGTGCAGGAGCCTGCCTACTCACAAACATCTGTGCAGAGGCCCTCCTACTCACAAACATCTGTGCAGGGGCCGTCACACTCACAAACATATGTGCAGGGACCCGCTTACTCACAAACATCTGTGCAGGGGCCTGTCTACTCACAAACATATGTGCAGGGACCCGCTTACTCACAAACATCTGTGCAGGGGCCTGTCTACTCACAAACATCTGTACAGAGGCCCTCCTACTCACAAACATCTGTGATGGAGCCCTCGTTCCCACAAGTATGTGTGATGGAGCCTCCTCAAAGGCCGACTGCCCTGTTGTTTGGAAAACCTGTCGCTCGTCTTGTCTAAGTGGGCTACATGTTGCGCCTGCCGCATGCACACAATGTTGGCTGACATTGACAGTGGTTATTCATGCATATAATACCAATTGCTATTGTTGTTTTCAAGCTTATGAACATTAAATGTAGTTGTATTAAATAACATGAAGTTGAGAATGTGTATTTATTGCTGTAAGAAACACATGGTTTCATGGCAATTCATGGCAATGAACATGGCAATTAGGGGTTGGGTGTCTTGCTCAGGGACACTTTGACATGGGACATGGAGCAGCCGGGGAAAGAAGCGGCAACCTTGCGGTTCCTGGCGCACCCTCTCTTCTCCATGCGCCACTGTCGCCACCATTCACTATGTCATTTATGTAATTTTGAGCCTTTCGAACCTGGTGAAACCTAGTAAAATGCATGTTTCTTTATGAATATTAGACAGTAACAACAGCTCTGCCATTTTGCATTAGGTGTTTGAAACAACAGATATTCGTAGTATTTTCTTATTAAAATAACACGCAACGAGAGGCAATGATACAGTGGACAGATTCATCAGGTTCAACACCCGGACAACAGGTCAGGGATAGACTTCTTTTCCCGGAGACGGAAGTAATGTCTCGTTTGTCCTGTGGGGGGCAGTGACGTGCTCACCAGCGACCTGAGCGCCCAAATGACACGAGCAGACGAAGAAGAAGAAGACGAAGACGAAGAAGACTCGCGGTGCATTTCTCCAAACCAAGTAGACGCGCGCACTCTCAATGACCGACGGGCGGATATTGCCACAGTATTGATCTAAACCGGAAGCTGAAGCCTTTACCGATAGAGACGCGTACTCTGCGGACATGGGGCGGAAAGCGACCCTCGCGACGTGCTCCTTGAATCAGTGGGCTTTGGACTTTGAAGGGAACCTGGAGCGAATCCTGAAGAGTAAGTGGACGATCACAGACTGTGACTTCTGCGTTATGGTCGTTCGGGAGCGTGTCAGTTGACGGTTTCCTCTGATTGGTTACAAAATGCCTTTAAATCAGCTGGGTATTGATCATAAGGGGCGTGTGATCGCGAGCACTGCTTCCTCTCCTCTGCAGCAGCTGGTCCTGCTCTGTGGACCCTCTTGAGATGATCCACACCACCTTCAGGGGCTTTACTGATTTGTGCTTTTGAAGCAATGAAAAACAACTCCTGACTTCAGTGGTGCAATACCGAATTACTGGAAGCATCTTGTAGAGAAACTGCGTGTTTCACCTGGCGAAAAACAATCGTCCGACAGCACATTGTATAGAATAGAAGTACTTTATTGATCCCCTAGGGGAAATTCAAGATCCAGGTAGCTCCTGAAAATATACAAACATAATATACACATACAGTTAAACTATTAAAAAACATAATCAAAGAAGAGAAATTAAAGTTAAAGCGCACATTAAGAGTTCAGGCTGGGGGTGAGTGCTGTTTAACGTTGAAGGGACACACACACACACACACACACACACTCACAAACAAAACAGAAAACAGATGTGCGGCGTAAGTGCAGTAGAGCTAGACAGATGTTTTGTCGCATCTTCAGTTTCCATGGATGTTGAAAGTGTGACATTTTGGCCCAAATGGAACACACACAAATGAACACACAACCAGCAGCATTTGTTTGCCAAAGTACCAACGTGTGTGTGTGTGTGTGTGTGTGTGTGTGTGTGTGTGTGTGTGTGTGTGTGTGTGTGTGTGTGTTGTTCTATGCAGGTGTTGAGATCGCCAAAGCTCACGGGGCCAAATACAGACTGGGCCCGGAGCTGGAGATCTGGTAAGACTGGGCTCACACTGACATGAGGGTGTTCACACATCGAGTGTCCCAACAGTTTGATCTAAGTGGACGAGCGTTCATTAAAGTACTTTCATTATACGCTGATGCTGCGAGAGTTTAGTTCGTTATCTACGTTTCCTGTTCCCTTTACAGCGGTTACGGCTGCGCGGACCACTTCTATGAGTCGGACACGTTGCTCCACAGCTTTCAGGTCCTCAGGAAGCTTCTAGAGTCCCCTGTCACCCAGGACATCATCTGTGACGTGGGCATGTGGGTACTGATGTCACACCGGCACAAACGTTTTTTCTATCAGTTTTAGTCCGGGGGGGAAAAATGATTTAGAGTTTGTATTTGTTTGTGTTCCCCTCAGGCCCATCATGCATCATAATGTGCGATACAACTGTCGGGTCCTTTTCCTTAACAGGTACGTCGGCACCAGTCAGGTCACTGTCTAATAAATGCACGTTGTGCGACTGGACACGTGCATATATTCTATCGCTGAACATTTGTCCTTCATCCTATAGAAAGATACTGCTGATCAGACCTAAAATGCTGATGGCCAACTACGGGGTCTACAGAGAGCTGCGCTGGTTCTCGCCTTGGAAGCAGTTGAGGTCGGTCATCACTCAGGGACACGTTGTGGACGCGTTGTGGACGCGTTGTGGACGCGTTGTGGACGCGTTGTGGACATGTAGGAAGGATGTTGGAGTCCCCTTCTGTGTGGCCCTCTGTGACCTGCGGAGACCCGGGGGTCTGAGCCCTAGACAAAATATGTTTACTTTAAATGTTGTTTACTGTACAGCGAAAATATAGCTTTCAAGATTAGCTTAGCTCAAAGATTGGAAGCTAACACAAAGCGTGGTAGCACCTGAACGTTTTTGTACACCTCCTGAAGCTGTCTCGCGTATGTAGCTTGTTAGCTAATGTGCTAACGCCACCGGACCGCCCAGAGAGACGAAACACTGACCGCTGGGACATGCAAAAGTTGATGCTAAGCTAATGCTAACTGCAGCTAAAACCACAATGCTTGTGGCAATGGAATAGAGAAACTGCGTTTACATATGAGAAAAGGGTGCATTGTTTTTAGGATGACTGTTCCCCCATCAGTGCGGCCTGTGAACTAAGGCCCAAAGCAAAGATGGAATTTAGAAAAGTGATTTTCCTTCTTTTGAAAAGAATGGGAATGGTATTGAAAATACTTGTCTCTTTGTTTGTCGCTTTTAGGCAGGTGGAGGAGTATTTTCTACCACGAATAATCCAGGAGGTAACCGGACAGGTAAAAAACAAAAAAATCATTACCATCATCATCATCATCATTATCTTATTATTAACTATTATCTGTGTTGTGAAACACAGACAAGTCTTTTTTTTTTTTCCTCCACCTGATCCAGAGTTGACAGTCAGTGTTTTTCCCCCCTTGGTTCTTTGCGTCCATCAGGATACTGTCCCATTCGGCGACTGTGTGCTGTCCACAAAGGACACCTGCATCGGCACGGAGATATGCGCGGAGCTGTGGAACCCCAGGAGGTACAGCACAGCAACGGAGGATTGTACGAGGGTGCATTGCGCGGAAATGTTGTGTTTGTTTTGTGTACTGACTGAAACAATTGTCCTGATGACTGAACATTTTTATGTGTCTCTCTTCGTCAGCCCCCATATTCAGATGGGTCTGGACGGGGTGGAAATATTTACAAATTCGTCCGCCAGCCACCATGAGCTCCGCAAAGCTGACCTAAGAGTCGACCTGGTCAGGTCGGCCACCATCAAGGTGCACTTCAACTCCCTGAACCCCAACAGTTTCAAGGGATTTCATGCCGATGTAGAATATATTGATTTTGATGAAAAGTCACAATTTTAAGCTGAAATTTGGGTTTTTTCCCCGACGTTCTTTGCTTATTTAGAATATTTGATGATTGGACAGTAATTCAAAACACAGTTTTTGAACAGTAATTGAAATTTCCACATTCTGAAAAAAAACCTTACCTTATTAATACCTTATTATCGCTTTTAAAGGCAAAATCAGGCATGAATGACTTTGCTTTCCTTACTTTTTCAAACAAAATGAAAAAAACGAAATGCTTGGTAGAAACATACGTTATAGTAGATTCTGTATAGTGTGAATTCCCGTTCCTGAGATCCTCCAATTTGACCAGCGTCTTACCCACCAGTACCTAAAAAGACGTTGCAGAACACGGATCACCAGAGGGCGGTGCTGCACTGCGAATGGGACGTGGTGCATCCGTCCTGTCGTCTAGCTCAATGCAACCAGTCCTGCATTCAGTGACTCGATGGTGTCGTTCCAGAGTGGCGGAATCTACCTTTATGCCAACCAGAGGGGCTGTGACGGAGACCGTGTCTACTATGATGGTTGTGCCATGGTGGCCATCAACGGAGACGTCGTGGCTCAGGGAGCACAGTTCTCTCTTAACGATGTGGTAGGCATGGACACTGTGCATGGTGCACACTGTGTGGTGTAACCAACAGATACCTGCTAACAAGTCTTGTAGTCGTAAATCATGGACAATAGGTGTGAAGTGACTTTCACAGTATATTGATGTGTACAGGTCTGTTGATAAGTGTTGCAGAGCAGGTCACACAGTTAGCAGGCACACTGCTTTCCTTTGTCACAGAACTATGCTTTCCTTATGCGAGGGTGATAAACCTGTATTTTGGGGACAGGAATCTGTTTACGCAGTTAAATTATACGGGACACGCCTTCCTTAAGAGAGCAGAAGTTAAGCCCAAGCTCGGGTTTGTATAATGGTGGTAGCAGTTATGGTGAAGATAAGTCAAAGTCATCCGAAAATGAATGGAAGTCAATGTAATATTCCCAAAACGGCCTTAAGTAATTATGTGTGTTTTGCAGGAAGTGATTACAGCCACTCTTGACCTTGAAGATGTGCGGAGCTACCGAGGGGAAATTTGCCAGCCAAACATGGTGAGACGGTCACTGTAATGTACAAAGCTGCAGAATCATGGTTTGTTACTTTTCATTTCACTTTTATTCACTGTTGCCCCTCCATCCCTTCTCTGCTGTTACTTTTCATGACCTTAGCTGTACTTTGCATTTATGATCTGGGAATATATGAACGTTGCAAACAGTATACTTGTTAACATTGCCCTTGTGGCCACACATGTTTAAATGTTTTGTTCATCGAGATAATCTTCACCATGAACCGCATTTGTACAGTTTCTGTAGCGTGAGTGAGATAATAAAAATAAAAGGCTTACAGAACAGCGCTGACACAGTATGTAAGGCATGGCTAAAGTAGAGCGCCCCCGGGCAATAAAGCGGCAATAAAAGTCTGACTCTTGTATTCCACATATCACAGAAGACGGTGTGTCTCTCTTTAGAGGCCTGTGAGCGAAGCTCCTCTTTAGACACGTGTCTCCGCTACGCTGCGTCCATGTCAGGTCTCCGGCCATGAGGTCGACTCTCAAATCGTGCTTTTGACGAGAAATGGAGACGGCACAGAGAATGCAGAACTGCGATAAAGCAAGAGTAGAAATAAATGACAAAAATGAAGCTGCATTCATTGTTGCCATAAATATCTTTACGTCAACAATAGATCAAAGGACTATGTGTGGTGTAAAATAGGTAATTTGTATCCTCAAACCCACAGAGATTTACCAGCCTACTCCAAAGCCGCCCTCAGATGTACACAGCTTTTTAAGCCTCTTCTGTTTCGGTATCATGGCCCCCGTCTTCGCTGTCTGGCTTCCTGCAGCAGGCAGCTGTTTTCAGTTTCAAACCTGCTGTTGCCACCAAGCAGCAGACACGCTATTAGCAACGAGCTGGAGATTACAGTGGAGCCTTTACTGAGCGTGGTGTTTTCTTCAGGTATTGGTGGAGATTAAAACCGAGCAAAAGGAGGAACTATTGGAATGTAGACGTCAACTGTTTCTAGCTGATGAACTATTGTTTGAAAACAGTTTGTTTCACTCCGTCTCCTCTTATACTCGTACTGCTCTGTTGTAGGAAATTGAACCCAAACCGTGCCACAGGGTCAAAGTCGACTTTTCTTTATCCAGTGGTGACGATATCTGCCTCCCCACCCACCAACCAATACCAGCGCACTTCCATTCCCCAGAGGAAGAGATCAGGTACAGATGCATTTCCTTCCTAGCAGAAAACAATTTAGTGGCTTCGGCAATGGTCCAGTTGAAGTGCAAAAATCACAACAGCGTTTCCTCCCTGTGTTGTTCAGCCTGGGGCCGGCCTGCTGGCTGTGGGACTACCTGAGGAGAAGTGGACAGGTGAGGACCTACACTGCCGCACTGTGTCATCCTGAGCACATCCCGCCCCCCCCGTGCCACCCAGCTACGGCTTCAGAGCTGCCAAAGATGTCGCTATCTTTGCTCCCTGAATAAATAATATCACATTTCTGGAAAACATAAAACCAATTTTATAGAAAAGCAGCGAGAAGGGTCAAACTGATTCAGCAGGGATCCAGATGTGTAAAGAGTTTATCACCGCATCCCGTGCTGATTATGTTCTTTTTGTCACACTTGCTGTTTTCCATGTCCAGTTTTTACTGTCATTCACAAGCATGTGTAGACATTCTTTAGCCAGCGTTACGCCAGTCAATGCTATACTAATGTACTCGGTTATTGAAAGCGTAGGGTTGAGCTCTCCAGAACACCACTGCTTGAATTCCTATCAATAACTGCACACGTTTTTACGTATAAATGAGTAGTTTCAGGTCTTGTTAACGAGTATTAAGGCACAAAATGTGTAACCTTGCCAGCTCCAAATTCATTGTTGTTGAAATGTTAAATGATGGCCCGAGTCTTTGGAGCCGGGTCGTCTGGCCCTGAGCCGACAGAGCCGGCGATGCTACGCTGTGATTGGCCAATGCTTCCGATTTGTGTCCCAGGCTGGTTTCCTGTTGCCTCTGAGCGGAGGGGTGGACAGCTCCTCCACGGCCTGCATTGTCCACTCCATGTGCGTGCTGCTCTGCCAGGCTGTAGAGGATGGCAGTGAGTACGATCCCATCTGTTTTCAGATCATTGTACACACACTGAGTCTCCCAATCTGACTCTTGATTCATGTTCTTGTTTAAGGCTTGATGGTGGTAATATTTAATATTTTCAAACAACAAAAGTTGAGATGAATGTAACCACCAGCAAGTATTGTGCGTTTGTGTCTTCTGGCTCTGAACCCGTGGAATTCCTCTATTTAAAACGCATCAATGAGCCACACTTGTTGCTCCATCATCATAAACGCACACACGCTCTCTCTCTCTCTGTGTCTCATCAGACAGCCAGGTACTGGAGGACGTCCGCAGAGTGGTAGTGGATGACTCCTACCGCCCTCAGCACCCGAGGGAGCTGTGCGGTCGCATCTTCACCACTTGCTACATGGCCAGTGAAAACTCCTCCGAGGACACGTGCAGCAGGGCCAAAGGCCTGGCCAGTCAGATTGGCAGGTAGGCGGGCGTTCAACCAGAAGGGCTTTCGCAGGGGGCAACTGTGGCTCAGTGGAGAGCAGGGTTGCCCTTCGATCAGGGCCGTGATTGACAAGTAAGGTCCATGTACCATCGGTTTGAGGAGGGGGGAGAATCCAGTGATGCGGCAGTACAGTGCCATGACAGATGGGAATAAAGGACAGGAACACAGGCTTATAATTATTACACATTCAGAATCATGAGGCTAGACTGAGATCTAAACTTATGAAGACATATTTTGAATATATATGTAACGTATGCGATGATAAATTAAAAGTAAAGCATATATTGGCAAAAGAATAGTGAAAACAATCCTATCATTTGAAATCACACCTACAGTGTAAACAGAAGCTGCCCAGATATTGATAAGATGAGATACAAGACTAGCTGAATAAATGAATCAAGGACCAGCCTGATCCATATGGCCAATATCATTTGCCAACTCAACCTAATGACGCATGTATTATAATATACGTTAAAGGAACATTTTGGAGGTTAAACGAGCAGTATAGCAAGTGTCTACGTTTATATGTGTTTATTTTCATTCCAAGCAGTGTCTCATTGACATGCATCTCCAGGGCTATATCTACAAAAACTATGTAAAATTACACTACAAAGTGAATGTTTGGTCTAAAATTATCATCATTTACAATTACTATGTGATGTTACATTTATACAATATATGTTTAAATAAATTATAAAGTGGTACAGAATTATGTGAACTAAATGAGAATGTGTGAATACAAATATTGTACAGCAGGATAGAACTGTATCTCTGATAAATTCATTACACATACAGGCTATAATATAGTTATCCCTATTTAATCTAAATCCAGTGACGCTTCGTATCTAATACTTGTTATCTATAGTTATTATCCTTTGTGCTCATTTTGAAACCAAAAATATGTTCACACTTTTATCTTTGTCTGCAGCACACACATGAACATAAACATAGATATGGCAGTGAAAGGCATTCTGGGTATCTTCTCCGTGTGTACTGGAAAGTGGCCTCAGTTTCGCGTCAACGGGGGGAAGCCACAGAGAGAACCTGGCTCTGCAGAATGTACAGGTACGACACGCACTCTTTCATTGTCAGCGCTGCTAGCAGTCCCTGTATTCATTGTGTGTGTGTGTGTGTGTGTGTTCGTGTTCGTGTTCGTGTTCCCAGGCCCGTGTCAGGATGGTCCTGGCCTACCTGCTTGCCCAGCTGGGTCTGTGGGCCCGGGGGAAGCCAGGTGGATTGCTGGTGCTGGGCTCAGCCAACGTAGACGAAAGGTATTACTGGCGCTGCGCCCCCCCCCCCCCCCGCCCACATACATATCTGTGATATTTCATGTTGCTGTTTCAAAGGGTGAATTAATAGAGTTTAAAACTCAAGTGGTGACACTTTGAATAGACATGGAGGTAAACTGCAACAGCGCGGTTTGGCAGAAGTGGTAATTCTATTTTTCACCGGTTCATAAGCAGTCAGCAACCCACTAATTGTGATTGACGGGCTGTAGTGGAGAATGTTCCAGCCTAACAGCCACCTCCACCCTCAGTCTGACAGGATACTTCACAAAGTACGACTGCTCGAGTGCTGACATCAACCCCATAGGAGGCATCAGCAAGACGGACCTGAAGAGCTTCCTGGCCTACTGTGTCGAGCAGTTCCAGCTCACCGCTCTGAGAGGGTGAGGTCTGCTAGCCGACGTTAGGGGAGATTGAACTGCTCTGTGCCGTATCTGTCGGTTCCCAGAGCGTGGGTGGAAGGAGTAAAAGGCTGAAGCAGGAACTGGCTCCAGTCTATCATCTATTGTCTTCGCCGGACTCAAAACCTTCAGGGGTAGAAGTGAAAGCTGCACGTCTTTTGTGGCAAATAAAACGAACCAAAATTAGAGCGTGGGAGGGCGTTCATTTCAATTGTTTGAGAATATTTGCATGCGACGGTTTCACGCGCCAGTCGTTGCTTCATAAAGACGTTTCCATGTGCTGCGAGCAACAAACGAAGCATCTGCTGTGGTTTCGGTTTCCTCTGCAGCATCCTCTCGGCTCCGCCCACAGCTGAGCTGGAGCCGCTGCAGGACGGGCAGGTGTCACAAACCGATGAGGTGAGAAAACAGAGCACAGTTCCCGGATGGGTTTGGTCAATAGATAAAAAATGAACTAATTAATCGCACCTTTTGAAATTCATTATTCTCGATTGATGGCGATTAATGAATGTTGTTGTTTATAATGAATGTTTAGATCTTAGAAGCAATGGGTAATCACTGTTGTTTAATTGTTAATGTAATTTTAAACCAACTACACATTTGATCATCTTGGAGGAACATGTTGAACTAGCAACTCTTCCTGCTGTCCTCGTGCACTTTGCTCTGTGTTTGAAGTGGCAACAATCTCCCCACATTTAGCCAGGACATTTTCAAACTATGGTCTTTTAGGGACACAGAGGTGGTCCTCTGCAGACTGTAACACGCAGGGTAACATTAGATGCTGAGATGGAAGTAGCCTAGCAGCTAGCTTAGCATAGCAGCTGGCTTAGCACAGCAGTGCTTTAAGTGGTCCCTTTGCCACTCGCCCCCCTTTTTGTTTGACACGTGGAGGAGTTTCTCTGCACAGTTCTTCACTCATATATATATATATATATTATATATATATTATATAATCTCCAATTCATCTGGAATCAGGAAACATTGCCAAAATAGGTCAAACATACAAGGAATTTGTCTTGGCGGTTGGTGCGTGACAGTAGACAGTGTAACAATAGACAATCGTAATTCCATTCATGTTAATACTTTATTTTGAAAACAGACATCCTTACTAACTTAGCCAAGTGCAGCTTTCCCCGTCTCTGTTGTCTGGTGACCGGCAGTATTTGTTTAGTTAATTGTTTTCTTTACTTCACATGATCCTCTCCTCCACTGACCGCCTCGCGTCTCCCTCTTCAGGCAGACATGGGACTGACCTACTCGGAGTTATCCGTGATCGGGCGACTGAGGAAGATCTCCAAGTGCGGCCCCTTCAGTATGTTCTGTAAACTCATCCACACGTGGAGGGACGCGCTCTCACCCGCGGAGGTCAGTTGCATCATCCGGTCCCTCAGGAAGTGTGATGGAGGGAAACAATGAGCTCAGCCAAAGTAAAATGCAGAGCAGACACTTTCTGGCCAAGAGTGGAAGCAGGATTAAAAACAAATCTATTTATTGTTTTAATTTAGAATATAGAATATTCTGAATCTTTGGACTGAAATGTATGTGTATATGTAGCTATTTTTTTTTCTGACCAATTCTGATACTTTTTCTTGCACGTGTTGTTATCAAGTATAATCCTACTTTCAAAAAATCCTGCTGGAACACAATACATTTATGCTGAAAGTAAGAAAAACTAAGTAATTTAGTGCACATTTTTTAAGATAGTAGTGTTTTACTAAACTTTTCTGTGATTATAGTATTAAAACTGTATATAAAACTAGTAATTATTGTGAAAAAGTGGCTTTATTACAATTACTAATAGCTACATAGTCACTTCATTCTGTAAATATAGAGAAACCGATAGTTTTGTACAATTGTAGCTTTGATATTAAGAAAAGAAAACAATGCTATCATGTTAATCACACGTAAGATAATAACTTGTAAGTAGTCCAACTACTTTAGGTTAAATCATTCTACATGAATGGCCACAGACTCTGTCTCAAACCTTGTATTTTGAATGCAATTTATTTGCAAAAAATAGTATTTACTTATTGCGATTATAATGTTGAAAATGAAAATCTGAAAAGGGGCTGATGACTGCTAATAAGTACCCGGTGACGGCTCACGTAGTGACTGCTCTGAAGACCAACGGTGACATGGAGCTTAAAATAATGATGTGATGATTTCAGGTAAATTGACATTGAAACATTTCAAAACGCGTCTTTTTAACACCAATGTTAAATTTTACGCATTTGACACCTAATTAGGGTCGAGAAGCAACAGCGTGTTGTTTTTTTTTCCCAGGTGGCCGAGAAGGTGAAGCACTTCTTCCGGATGTACTCGATGAACCGCCACAAAATGACCACGGTGACGCCGTCCTACCACGCCGAGAGCTACAGCCCCGACGACAACCGCTTTGACCTCCGACCTTTCCTCTACAACACACGCTGGACCTGGCAGTTCAGGAGCATTGACAACCAGGTAGCTTTGCGTAGAGCAGGACTTTTACCTGATTTAAATGTCAATGACCCTCCTGCACACAATTTGGTTATCTATGCATCTCTGAATAAGAGACTATTCTCTTTTTTTTACAGCCGTCCCAAAAAATGATTTCAACCAGACGAGGATTGTATTTTCATAAAATGATGTTTGATAGAAACATCAGTAGTAGCTTTTGGAAGTTAATTGTGTGATAATTCCCTCTGTACTTTTAATAGCTCTCCTCCTCTGGATTTAAATGCACATCAATGTAACATTATCAAGGATCGAAGTCTATAAGCTTTAATGTTCATTGACAAATATTTAAACTACGATCCGACAAACAAGGATGAAACGGGGTTCTGTTTCACTTACTGTTCACTAACACTCAGTCTTTTTCTTGTTCCATTGGATTTGTTTTTTTTTAGATTCCACTGCTGAGGGTCCCGTTGCTGGTGGCTGCGGCTGGAGGGGCATCGTGGCAGGGCGGAATAAAGGAGGCCCCGCCTCAAGCACAACCTTTATCTGCAGGAAGTGGCCAAGTGGAACGTACCAAGTGTCTGCCACTTTCTGAGTAGGATTGGGGATTCTACGTACACTAGAATGTTTTTTAGAAAACCCACCTGTGATTCCTCATGGCGGCCGGCTTGGACCCTCACACTGTTTTACCCTCCTTTCCCCAGAGCTGACCCAGATGGAAACCCATAACGCCCCAAAGCAAAAACAACTGGAACCCATCAAATCTGTGACGGAGCAAAAGGATTGTTTTTCCTAATTTGCACTGAGTTGGCAAGCACAGGGTCATGCAGGAGAAGAAGTAATAATTCTGGGACGATTGAACCTTTGCTCTACCTCAGTGTCACAAATGTAACGAGGGCTATCAGGAACATTGGATACGTAAAACTATTGTAAAACATAAATGTAAATGTTGTATCACAGTATATGAAATAATGGCAGCTCCGCCTGTCTTTATATTACATGTGACTAGGGTGGCAAAATTCCTGGAATATTCAAAGTTGGAAGCTTTCCACGGGTTTTTAATGTGAATATGTGGCAATAAACTTTAAAGGTAATTTAACTGTACTTACCTCGTCATGTATGACAATGTTCCTTGTTCACAAGCAGACATGCGTGCAAGCATTTCTAATACAAAATAAAAAAATGAAATTTATGACTTAATCCATTTGGAAGTAGAACCTTTTCTAGGTAATGACAAAGGCGTTCAAAACAACACAACATGTTCACAACTAGCTGCATCCAGGGTCCAGCTGGGTTTGCATAGTCTTGTTCTCAACCACATTTAGGATCCCTGTTCATCTATCTATATGTTATCTTAGTAACATGGTTTTAAAGCGATGAAAAATGTATTTATTTATCTTGTGGCCTATATATATATCTATATATACATACTTCCTCGTCATATGTCATATGTGCAATTGGCATGAGCTTGTTTGATGAACTTGCTCTTTATTTCTAATATCAATGTGTCCAATGTTTTTATCTGTATACATTTAAAGAACGACCGTGACACTTAATCAAGTTGAATTTGCCTCTGCATAATCACAGAAATGTATTTAAATCAATATTTTTCATTTATACAGTATATTCGTTTCCACATTTGTCGAAACCATGGTTGTATGTTTCACTTCAAATGTGTTCTTTCACTTCAGATGTATTTTATTTAAAGCTACCGTCACTTTATATATCCTCCAATTACCTTACATTACTTTGTATGTAGGTTACCTATAGCTTCACAACATTATATTTTGATTATGGTTTAAATCCCTTTGTCACTAATGGAGGAAAAGGATATATATTTTAATATATATTAAGGGTATTTAGTCGTGCTTGTGGCTCACTGATGCTGTACTTTATGTGTGAGCCATCAATTAATAATATATTCAAATACACATTCTGCCCACAGTCACCCTGACTCACCAACCATTGATTCTACGATGCCGGTTCAAGCGGCCTCGCTCACCCTCTAGGCAGGGGGGTTTGATCCTAGGACGTTCTTCAGTAAGAGTCAATGGTGCTCCGTTACCACTGTGACCGATTGGATCAGGACCATGAAAGACCTTTTCCCCCAGTGACGGAAACACGGAGGTTATTAGATTACACTTGCTTGTATTTGGAGTTCAATGTTGTTCGCTGCTGAGATGCTGTGTGGGAGGGATTGTGTGTTTGCTGGAGATAAAGTGACTCCAAAATAGATTAATTAAATTACTAGTGTTTATGTTTGAAGGGTTAAGGAAAGCAGTGGCATCAGTGTAGAAGAAGAAAATGTGCTGGTTTAATTAGTAAGTGCGTTTGTGGCCTCATTAGTATGATTTGTCTTTGTTTTCCCTTGGCTGTCATCCCTCCCACACACAGCTCTTCAGGCTGCAACTCCATCCTGAATTAACGGAGGTCACATTCCCGGAAAATTAGATAAAGTCGCAAGTCAAATTAGAAAGCTTATTTGAGCATGTGTGTTGGGGACTTATGTTGGACTATCATTGTCTAGCTGGTAACCCACAATTTATGAAAGTTCTCCAAAACTTGCCGCCCATTGAGCTTCATCAACCTTCACAGTTCAGGGTCAATGCCTAGAGGTCAGAGGGCACACCTGACTTTGGTCGCATATAATTTAATTTAAGTTGCCGCCGTTGGTCGCTTGAGGAGCATCGGAGCCTCCGGGCTGCAGCACGTGGCGCGAACTGTAGGTGGAGTGATTTCTACGAGGGCGAGAAGTGAAACCCGAGGACGGGACGGGACCGCAGGGTGGAGCAGCGACGAGGGCCGACTTCCCTAAAAACACACTCGAACCCTGTTTGTGTCGCCCTCGGCTTCGAGGCCGTGTCGCCGTCCGGGGCTATGGAGCTTCTCCCGAGCCGTCGCTGACCGCGGAGCCGCTTTCGGACTCGACCCCCCCCCCCGGGAGCCGAACCCGCGACCCCGCGCCGCTTTTACTGTTCACGGCGCGCGAGCGACCCCGCAGAGGAGCGCGAGCCTTTGACCCCGATGGAGGCGAGAGGTCTGCTGACCGTCAACGGAGCCTCCGGGGATTATGGCTCCTTGCCGGGCGGAGAGCAGGAAGGGCCGCCGGGGAGCGGGAGACGGAGGTCGCACGCCTTCGCCGGGCAGCCGTGCGGCGTCGAGAGGGGCACAGGTGAGTGTCTCTGTCTCTCCCCGTGTCTCAATGTCTGTCTCTACACGTCTCTCTTAATGACTCTATGTCCCTGTCTCTCTCTCTGGTCGGTGGCGTTTCCTCTTGTTCGTTATTCAGTACAAAAGCCAGTGGTTCGATTCTAAAAGTCCTCCATTGTAAACAAAAGTCGGGTAGGCCCATTTTAAAACGTAAGCAAATTAGAAGCAAATAAGTATTAACGGCGAGTGAACAGTTTGAAAACAATTTCTAATTGACTAAGAACATGTGTCCAACCTTTTGACTGGTACTGTTCTTGAGGTTTAAAATATATAAAATGTGTGTATATATATATATATATATATATATATATATATATATATATATATATAATCCATATGGAGAACAATGTCAATGCCAGGTCAACCCCAACCATGGAGCTCTGATCTCTAATTACACCACCAGATCCACCACCAGCGCATTCTGTTTCATTCAACTACTCTTGTTAAACCTGCTTACACAGTGGTATCCATCCTGTAAGCACTTTACACTTCTAAATAATAAGTCCCATACATCCATGGGTACATTCAGTAAATCCACCTCTCTGATGTTGCTCTGAAGTAGCAACTTTTCGGTGGTGCGGATCTCCAGATAACACCACCTGTGGACGCCACGTGTCTGGATCTCACGGGGCCCTTGGGGGGTTTGGGGCTTCGTGCCGGTGTTGTTTTCTGGCCCAGCTAGAAGTGCAGCCATGATTGTGCACTAATTCCTTGTTTTCTTGGAGCGAATACGAACTGTTTAACGTGCGCGTTGTCCTCCCGTGTGTCCACTATAGCTTCTGTCTCGCTGTTAGCTGATGGGAGTGGAGCCCGCTTTGAACGACCCACTTAGAGACGCGCCTCCTCACAGCACTGGTGTCCTTTGAGTTACTGTCCACCTCTGCTTCAACCAGCCGTTCTCCTCTGGTTCTCGCTGGGTGTTCCTCAGTCCTCAGTGGCCACTGACTATGCATGTTCCCCACGGCTGAAGGTCATGTCTTCTAATGTCGGCCTTTAATGTCCAACTAATCTAACGGCCCAGGATCACTGAGGTGTTTGGTGGATGTTGATGGGGATCCTCCTTGTGACTTATTACTGTGTGTTACAGATTGGTGTCCATTGGAAATCTAATGTCAGAGTGGAATCTATTCGTGTAAGCCGTATGAAACGTTTGTTCAAGTCTACCAGCTGAGACACAGAAAGGCAGATCTATATGTGTCATTTAGTTTTTTCTAAGGCCTGTGTGATTCCACTTACAAGACAGTAAACTGTTGTACTGGGAGTCCCCTCTCTGTTGAGCTGCTTTAATAGAATTCATTTGATAGAATTAATGCAGCTTTGATGCGTCTTTCCTGCCTCAAGGTCCAAATTTAAAGTTTTTGTCTGCGTGCCAACGGTTGGTAAACTAATTCAAAAAGCTTACTGGCCAAAACGTTTTTTCAATAGCGGCCATCCAGCTGGATGAAGTTAGCGTAACCGTAGCAACGGTGGACAGTGAGTGTCCCTCAAAAAATTGATTTCAAAGCGAAACTAAACATGCTCAACCAACTTATGTGATGAAGGGTCGAGAGTTTGACGGCAACTGACCTCATCTATTTTATTCCCCAAAGTAGATCCTCATTTGACGTGACGTACCGTTGGTCTGATGTATAATTGCATCATATTGATAGACATCATTCACTGTGTGTGTGTGTGTGTGTGTGTGTGTGTTTTTTATATATATATATATATATATATATATATATATAATTAGTATCTGTGGTGTTGCAAAAACTTTTTTTCTTTTTCTCTGCTGCTCTTACGACGAGTGTGAGAAGTGCATCTCACACCTTTTTGTGTGTGTGTGTGTGTGTTGCAGCCGTTTCAAGCGTTGCCTGTCAGCAACAACCGCCGACCATACGTGACTCACCCTGCTTTGATGCAGCGAGTGTGTGTGTGTGTGTGTGTGTGTGAGAGAACTGAGTCATGGCGTCTGCGTAGCTGCTGGACGGAGGAGTTCCAGTCATTCAGCATAACATGCTCGTGCGGTGTAACATGGTGGCCAGGTTGCCATTTAGAGAAACTTCGAGACCAATTCCATGTCTTTGGTTGTGTGATACAGCTTTTATATTTACGCTCATGCATAACTGCACAGGATCTCAAGTACTCACAATATGAGGTGCCTAAAAATGGTACATTTTCTCCAGAAGCTGATTTAAAATATTTTGTAGAGCTGTGTTCTTCAAATGGTCTCCACATGATTTGCTTGACAGCTTTGTCCTTATCTTACAATTGTTGACTTATCGCCAAATCTGAATTCTACTTTTGCATTATTACGACCACGCCCCTTTTTGCATCACATAATCCAATACAAAGCCAATGTTTGACGGCCAGATTAAATGAAGTCAAACCTAATCCTCAAGAAGCATATCAAGAAGTCTTATGGAGGTTGAACCCAAACTCTATGTTTTATTCATCCAAGAAAGTTGGTGGTTCTGGTGGGAAACCAAGTAATTAGAATATTAGATTAATGGTTAAAGTTGTGCTCCAGCCCCCCCGCGACCCTGTGTGCAGGATAAGCGGTTTGACGATGGATGGATACCTTATTTAGAACTTTACATAAACATCTGTTTATTTGGTCAACGATCCAGGAGAGTTTTGGAGGCGGGGCTTCCTTTGTTTCAGTTAAAAATAATCAGTGGAGTATGACGCAAAGACAGTTTGGCTTTCTAGTATAAAATTCAATTGGCCCACAGATCTCTAGCGTGGCTTTTGCCCCCGACTCCCATAACTTCTGGGGCCATTTCTCATGAATAGAGGGTGAAATAGCTGTGGCTATAGAGGCAGAGCAGATCCAGGCCCTCACAATGCCTCCTGTTTTCCTGTCCAAGTGTCAGTTTTAGTTCATGTTGTTTATTTACATCACGCTAAAGCCGCTTGACACTAGGAATCTATTACGGTGGAATGTGGACGCATCATAAAGATATGCATGATTAAGTTTGGCTCCCAGAGTACTACACATACAATCCGGACCTAATGATTTAAATAGTAATCCAGTGTTTGCACTGGGAAATGGATTTTGCTTAAAACAACAACAACAAAAAACAGCTGTTAGGTCTCTTTCCCAACTGCGTCTCTGGCAATACTAACCTGTTTGGGCCCTCATGGCATCACCTGACCGATGTAACTCCTTGGTGTGGCCACTGTTAAATAATTGCCTCAAAGCCGGGGGGGCTTTCATGAAACTGTGAGGAGAAAAAAGCCACACCTTGTTTTACCAAACCACCTCCCAGTTTAGCCTCAAGAAAGAAGGAGCTTTCCCGTCAGCTCCCGGTCCGACCGGCTCGCCAGACGACGGCCGATCAGAGACCGCGTCGTGCCTCCGTGTCGGTGCCAAGCTAGTCACTGTGTGAAGGGGGTGCGGGGCAGTGCAGGTCGACACGTGAAGGCGCTTCCTGTTCATCACATGGTCCTCTGTGCGCTGTCCACAGATGCGGAGGAGCTCTACATCCAGCAAGCGGTGGTACTGATCGAGGACGCCATGCAGGTAAGTGCAGTGACGTCTTTGTCATCTTTAAACGATGGCGGAGGGGGAGAGTATCCCATTGAGTCCTTCACGCTCGTCTTCACGGTAATGACGACGGTCATAGATTGGAGCATGTGGAAATATACGTGGGCTTATTAATGTTAGTCACCTGTAAGAAACACCACAACAAGTGAGCCCCTCCCCCTCCGAACTAAAACCAACACAAAGTCGTTCAGCCTTTTATTCCCACAGAGACGTTGACTAGTCGTCTTCCCTTTGTCTCCTCCCGTATAGTACCGCTCCATCAACCACCGGGTGGATGCCCGCTCCCTCCGCCTGTATCGAGGGTACTACTCCTGGATATGCCAGTGGTGAGTCTGCAGGGACTGAACCTGTAGTTACTTGTGTTATTGTTGAAGCACAACAGGAAATCCTGTTTAGTTCCTTCGTTATTGGCAACATCTCCGCTTATCCATGTCACAAGCAGAGATTAAACACTTCCCACTTTAACTTTGGAATAAAGGGGCGAACATAATTTATTGAATCTCATCCAAAGCTGCATTTTAGGAATAAATTGATTTTGATATTATGACACGAAGTGACATATTGACATATCGTGTTGATCCACATATGATAGTATCTTGTAGCTGTACGTCCCCAGTGGCCAACAGGTGATTCTGTTTGAGTTGACCACGACATTGTATCGATGGCAGATGTTAGGCTTTGTGATTTCTTCCTTTTCATCTGTTCCCTGGGTTTCCTTGTCACTGTACAAATATTATTTGTATATATCGTAATAACTACACTCTCTCTCCACCTTCCTACACTCATACTTTGAGGAATTTGCCAAAAAGAGACTAAGCGCACCAGATCTTTTTATACTGTGATTTATTTATATCATGGTGCTGTCCTGAGTTCCTTTGGCCACATTATACACAATGTGATAAATTATATTGCAACAGCCCTAATGAGGAGGTATATTTGTATAGCTGCCATTGTACCTTTTTCAGAAGTAAATAAATAATGTGCAAGAAGCGCTGAATACAAATTCTGCTCTAAGCAGTTTCTTTCTTCCCAAGAAGCAAACAGATAAATGTGAATTCCAAGATGAATAATTGTTTAATATTTGTTGGATTAGTGATACTTTGATAGCGCTGTATTAGATGTTTTTTTTGCCCCGGTCTGCTCCGGCGCGGAGCAGAAGATGTTTGATCACGAGGGCTCATAGTCGACTAACCCGTGCAGATTAATTTGACTGCCACAGAACTTAATGGATAAAGAGGAAATCATTGCAAAGCGCCCGGGCATCTCTGAGCTGCACATGCATGCACGTTGAGATGTACACATGTCATATTAAGAACACCAAATACACCGTGACAAAAGTTGGTTGATGCCTATTGCCCGTGAGCCATATTTCTCTAATATTCTTCATCTATTTGTCCATCCGCTACCCTCCACCCCGTCTTTCCCTGCACCAGGGGCTTGGGCCTTACCATTGCGGTGGTGCTGCTGCTGGCGTTCGTGGAGCGCCCGTCCTCCCTGTCCATCTCCTCGGACCCCCGCCATCGCTCGGCGCCCTGGCAGCCTCCGTGCGGCTTCACCGAAAGCATCGAGATGGTCTGCCTCGTCGTCTTCTGTCTGGATCTGGCCGTTAAGGTGAGCACAGCCGCGGTGGAACGGCAGGGCCGACCTCCTCACTCTCCAACCGTCTGATTGAACCTCTGCTTCACGCCTTCTGTTTGTCCACAGGGCTACCTGATTGGCTGGGAGGAATTTAGAAAGAGCAAATGGCTGATCGCCTACACAGTAGTCATTTCCTTCTCCTTCATCGACTGGATGCTGTCTGTCAGCATGGCGTGTGACGAGGTGAGGCCGTGCTCCTCGGACACGCTTCTCCTGGGAGGGTGTGCTTTAAACCTTCCAAGTACTTTAAGCCTGCGATGTGTCTACTGACCAGCAGGGGGCGACTCCTCCGGTTTGCAAAAAGAAGTCCGGTTGTATAGAAGTCTTTGAGTAAATTACCCGACTTCTGATTCATGCATTCCATCAGTAAAGGTTGAGCCTGACTTTAGGGTTTCAATCTTTAGTTCTGAATTATTCTTTAATACAGTATGATGTTCATTTGAAAGTTTGTCTGTTCATTTCATTTTGATGGGCATGTACCCGTCTTTGTGCGTTTCAAAGTCTAATAGACTTCAAACATGGCAAATATTGTTAGGAAGGACCTACTTAGATGATAAATCATGATCTCCCTGCTTTAAAGGTTTTTTTGTTCTCTTCTAATTAGAAATTGCGAGTGCGGCGACTCATCCGGCCATTCTTCCTGCTGCAGAACTCTTCCATGATGAAAAAGACGCTCAAGTGCATCAAGAGGACTCTGCCAGAGATTGCCAGGTATCAGACTTCTTTACTGAAGTGTATCAAACAACTATTGGTTGAAAGGGTTCGTTTGGATGTTCAAAGGGGGGTTCTGCATGTATGGTCCGTGTGTTACCCACAGTAGATGGAACTGTCAGCACTCAAGGACGCCTCTGGTTTGGGAAAAGAGACACGAGTACACAATGTACTGTGTCTGTGGACCAAATAATATCAAGTGTAGTCTGTTTAGAATAAACTACGGGAGGTCGATGTTTACTGGCTCATTCAGGATCACCTTATCCTACGTACCTTTAAGCTTTTTTATTATCGTTTCTTATGCTTTATAATTCAAACCACAGACTACTGATCGCAAGTCACCGTTAATGGAAAGTGGTGTACGCTGTACACTTTAAACCTGCACAAACAAAACAAGAGGGTGCTGTTAATGTGGTTTCTCTTTGTGCTCTGAAATGATTTTCCCATACAACAGAACTTTTGCTGCCTGTACTTAATTGAAAACGCAGCTTTCAAACCACCAAAGCACCATCAGCGTTGTAAACTTGTGAAGAATTTTGCTGCACTTGGTCGGAGAGGACTGGCTGCATTGTTCCCTCGAAGGCAACATGAATGTTGATAATATCCATTAGCACCGCAAAAAAAGGACATACTTTAAACATTACCGGTGCTCCCTTTGGGAATTAGTCTGTTTCTGTAACGATTCTACAGGTGGAAATGAGTCATGCAGTCAGCCAACTGGATCAGTAACAGCACCGGGGAAGTTACCTTGGGTATACTTGTTGGAAAAAAGTAATTCCACTTCATAGCTAATTACTCGACAACAAAAGTAAATGACACCATTAGACCGGCGAGCCGAGGGGCCAACTCAATACTCTGCAGAGTGAAATTATTATATCATAGAATGTGTAATATTCTCACTTCCCTTTAATGTAGCCACAGAGTGGCGATGATGTACTGCGACATGCGACACCTCTACTACATCACCAGTGAGGAGGGTTCTTCTGTTTGCTGCTGTACATGTGTTGTATGTATTTCATGCACCAACGATAAAAGATAATTGGGTCACAGGTAACACTTGGATGCTTCACTCATAACGATGGCATTTAAAGAAAGTGGAGTTAATCAAAAAACATTTAATCTGATGAATAATTTAATTCAAATTGTTGGAGTATTTCTTTATTTAGTTTTGGACCCCAAAATGCTGACAGCTGGAGCACTTCCAAGACTCGATCGACACTTCAAGTTAAATTATCTGCACAATAGATGAGCCACTGAAGTTGGATCATCAGTGTTTTGTTACCAAATGTTGTTCCAGTGCTCATTAAATTCGCAATTTTGCTGGGACTTGTGGGTCGTGAAGTATCGAGAGTTAACCCTCATAAAATAAAAAAATTAAAAATCTTGGCCTCTGCAAAAACGTGTAATATAATGAAGTCATTGCAGAGACTTGTTAGCTGTAACCGTGTGTGTGTGTTCTCTCTGTGCAGTGTCATCCTGCTGCTGGCGCTCCACCTGTGCCTCTTCACTATGATCGGCATGCTGCTGTTTGCAAAAAGCGATGTGAGTTCAGGCTGCGCTCCGCCCCGCTGAATACACACTACTGTGCTGCAGATAGATGGATAATAATTCCATAAAGTCAGAAGGACCGGTTGGATGGAAAGGAGATCCAAAATGTTTACATCACAACAAGAAGCTTCTAGAAAAGAAGAAAGCGTGTGAATGAAGCCGACTAATTAGGTTTGAGTTCCGCCCTGAGGTCACCTCTAGTGATCCTGTAAGGGAGGGCACATTAAAACAAGAGCACAACGTTGTTTATTTAATATTCATGCATTCAACTTAGACTGATGGTGGAAATATCTGTTAAACTGATAAGTATAATTAACATTAATTTGTGGTTGCACTTCTGATATCAAGTGGTGCAATAAGTACTCATTTACCAACTCAGAAACCTGTCAAACTAAAAAGTGCTTTTGTTTACTAATCTATATATTAATTTGTCAATTAATCAAGAATGACTTCTTTCAACTAAATATCAGAAATAACTTTCTTTGTGTTTTTTGTTCAGGATCCCAAGAAGAACGGGGAGTGGAAGTTACATTTCAGAGACCTGCCCACTTCTCTCACCTCTCTGCTGGTGCTGCTCACCACAGCCAACAACCCAGATGGTACTCCCTCCGTCACGTGATGCACCGCCTTGCGTTGTGTCATGGAACCTTTTTCAACACGTCTTCTTGTCCTGTCACAGTGATGATTCCGGCCTACTCCCTGAACAGAGCCTACTCCATCTTCTTTGTCACCTTCAGCGTGATCGGTAAGCAGCGCCGGTCGTTGTCTGTGTTTTTTTGGGGCTCTTCTCCTCGGGCAGCGGACTAGACCTACAGGAGACGGCGGGCGGTTCTTCCCACAGTCTTGAGGAGCTGCACAGAATATATATATATTATTCGGTTAAGTATTAACGGATATAGATTTGTTTAGGTAGGTTGTATTTGTTGTATCTGCCAGGTGCAAGTACTATTCGCTGTTACTCCAAATTGGGGACGAGCCCACTGCCATCTACTGAATGTAATACACTAGCTGTGTATGAGCGCCTCACACATTCACACTTCCAAAGCTCTGAATGACCTGATGAGACTTGAAACCGTAGATCATTGTGTTGCTGTTCGGAGCATTTTTTAAGAGCGGGTGTGTCTTGTTCCCCGGCAGGAACCTACTGCCTGATGAACTTGCTGACGGCCATCATCTATAACCAGTTCAGGGGATATCTACTGGTGAGTCCCCCGTGGAGGATGACGCCTCTGAGGAGCATTACATCACCCTTAGCGTTGTCTTGCAGTCACAGCTCCACACATAAATCCTCGAGAACCCCCCACTGCCAGTGGGCTTCCATTTTAATCCCACAGACAGCATTTTAAGGAGATTGAGTTTTTCATTTTGTACCAAACAAATCATGACTGCTGTTATTTAATTATTCCCAATAGGAAAACTAGGCGTGTCAAAGGGAAAAACTAATGTCCGGCAGTGGAAGACAGTCATCAGACATATTTAATATGTCCCAACATACGGCCAGCATCGAGGACACATTTGTGCTTAGCTTTCCTTTAAAAGTCTTGCCCCGCTTGTATCCCTACTTTACTTTCTGCAACTGCAAACTCTGTAGGAAAGGCCGACTTTTTGGACCGTTTCACATGACCAGATGACCATGACCATGACCATGACCATGATATGACCATGATCAGAGGGGGGAATACAGGAGTGGGTGGAATGGGAATCCTAATACAACAGATCAGTTTTTTATTTATTCTAAATATATTAACTTCTAATATGAATAGCTTTGTTTATTTTCTACATATTTTATTAGTGTTTTTTTAATGTTTAAGAGTATTTCACTATGTCATTGTTACTATACAGCTAAATGTTTTGCAGTCAAAGTTTTGAAACTCCCTTGAACTGTGTTTTCCTCCACAGTAGCTTTTGTAAATGCTCATGAAACCTGAGAACTAGTAGTAAATACACTGTGTGTGTGTGTGTGTGTGTGCGTGTGCGCGTGCGTGTGCGCGCAAAGATGCCGGTACAGAACGTGTCTGTTCACTTGAGGAAGTGAGTTGTAAAGGTAGTTGAGCTGCGACTGCCATCTCCTGGAAAGTAAGAGACTAGATCGGGGTGGCCACATTTTTTCAACTCGCAAGCTGCTCTTTATGCAAAAGCTCATAACGGGGATCTTAAATGTAGTTGAGAACAAGATTATGCAAACCCAGCTCAGCTGGACCCTGGATGCAGCTAGTCGTGAACATTGTCTGCTGGTAACGTGAACACAAAACGTTTTTGAAAGTCCTACCGAGCATATTGATTGAAATCCTGTGGGAAATGCCCAAAGAAAACCGTGTGAGTGCGCAGTCAGGGAATCTTTCTGATGGTGTTTTCGGTCCAGATGTCGGTCCAAACGTCCATCATCAGGAGACGACTGGGGATACGAGCCGCTTTCCAAGTCCTGAGCTGCCAGGGAATCCAGCAGGCTGCTGAGTAAGCGAGGCGCTCGCATTTTATTTCAGTGCAAGTTGTGTTGTTTAAACGTAAATTTAAAAAGACCAGGCAACACAGAGACTGTTGTCCTGTCTTCTCTTCAGGGAGCATGTGGCTGTTGAACTGGTGCTGAAGACGATGGCCAGGGTCCAGATGAAGAGCTACTACAGAGAGGCCATCACCAAGGTGAGACTCTCTGCTCTCACGGTTCTGTGTTGTTGTCTGGTTGCGTGTGCCTCACTGTGTGTAGGAGACTGGGATTGTTTGTTAATATATAAGGCAACATTGGGCCTGATTTAACATTGTAAAACAAAATCTAACGAATAGATACAAACACGTAAATTTGCTTTAATTAACCTGTGAGAGTTTTAAATCCTACACCAGCAATATGGTCACAAGAAAAACCGTCAAAATGAAGAGAGATCTGTATCTTAATAGCACATAACCGTGGTGTCAGAACACGGGGAGATGAGGGTGTGTGTTTCTTCCCTTTGACTGTTTTCCTTTACGCCGTCTGGACTTCAGGAGGCGCACAAGTGTGCAGATGTGGGCTACATGGACCGAGAGCAGTTCAGGAAGATATTTGATGAACTCGACAAAGATCGCATTAAGGAGGTAGAGATGTCTGCTTCAAAGATTCATTTAACATTTCCTTTCACTTACACATCCATCCATCTCTATATCTATATCTATATCTAATGTGTGTGTGTGTCTCCAGCACCCTCCCTTGCCCCAGTACCAATCTCCGGTCCTGCAGAAACTCCAGGTGGTCTTCAGTCACTACTTTCTTACTATACTTGGCAACGCGGTGGCACTGGCGAATGTCATCTGCATATGTGTAAGCTGCACCCTCACACACACACACACACATGCATGTATACATGTATACAACCTCACACGCTGACTTATGGAAACGTTACCTGTGTGTGTGTGTTTCAGACCGTCCTGGTGCTGAATGCTGAAAAGTCTGCAGCAGAGAGAGACAACTACATCATCGAGGTGAACAGTCACATAATGTCTTAGGAGGTTCTTGGTCACAGAGAATGTTACTTAACCATCCCCTGCTTCCCCCAAAGGACCACCATCAGTTTAAACATTAGACCTTGAAGTAATAGTAAAAGCATCTAAAATGCTGCCTGTACGACATTCACAGCATTAATATGGCAGCCAACAACTATTGACTATGTAAATGTGTATTGGAGTAATGTCGAGCTGAGCAGACAATGAATTTTCTCTCCCTCTGCTCTGTTAACGTAGCAGTTTTCGGGATGCAGAGACCCAAAAGCACATTAATCCATCGCCACAGAGAATGCAACAGAAGATTGTGACTTTAACAAACACAGCAAATCAAAACGTGCATGCCTGAAAATGACCGTGAATATTGAATACTTGTGTTGTTTTTCTTCATTCACAACACTTAAATGAACATAAGAAACATCTGTTCTCCAGCTCGCCCACTTTAGCACAACGTGTTGAGCAACATCAATAGCAGGTCAACATTGTGACCATGAACTACTCCATAAGTGAACTGACTTCCGTCTTCCACCGTCCAACCATCAGATCATCAACCTGTGCTTCATCCTTTACTACCTGTTTGAAGTGTGTGTGAAGATCTTTGCCTTTGGATGGAAGGGCTACCTGTCCTACAGGAACAACATCTTCGATGGGTTCCTCACCGTCCTGCTCTTGGTAAGTACCTCCTCCAACCGCTCGCTCTCCATCAGTCAGATGTCAGACTGACTTGGACACATCGTCAGTTTAGTCAAATGTGAACAGATGATAGCAAGGAGCAGATTGGCTATTTCTGTCGCACCGGCCAAACAATATTTTATTATTGCCAGCAGGACATTTTTAAAGAGCCCCTCAAGAGGCAGAAAAAGTGCGTTATTACACGTTTATTGAAGTAAAAGGTTTCATTAAGATTTGATTTGTTGCTATACTTACCACTTTTTGTATTAATTACTGACCGTATGTGTTTGTTTCTCCATCAGGGGCTACAGATCACTATATTTGTCACCTACAAGCTTCCCTTCTCTCAGTGGTAGGTTTGCATTTATAGTGAATGTTTGTGTATGATGATTCCCATTGAGGCATATTGCAGAGATGGAGTTTACATCCATCTGTGTAAACTGTCCTACATTTGTGTCAAATTGTCAAATTAGCTGTGTGTGTGTGTGTGTGTGTGTGTGTGTGTGTGTCACTACAGGGACCCTTCCTCTCACAGCATATTGTCTCTGTGGGAGATGGTTCGTTTGATCAACATGCTGATTGTGTTCCGCTTCCTGCGTATCATCCCTGATATCAAGGTATGCAAGAGACAAACAAAAACAACTACTTTCCTATAAAAAGCACAAACGTGTACGGTATTGGAAGCAAAAGGGTTTCCATTAAAGCCCTGCATGTTGTGCATTGTCTTGTGGAGCTTTAATAATCACAGGTTCACAATCCAGCATTGTGTCCTCTCAAGATACAAATGTCATTAATAGGAAATGTAGTGTAATCACTTCCTGTCTCCTTCCTGTGGATCAGCTCATGGCTTTGGTCGCAAGCACCCTGTTGGACCTGCTGAAGAACCTCAGAGCCTTTGCAGGGATACTGATGGTGAGTCCACACTTTAAGGACCAGTGCATAGGATCTATGAATGGAATAGTATTTTCATAATGTTTTCATTATGAAAGCAAGACCGGGTATGTTGGCTTCGAATGACCTGTTCACATCGACACAGCGCCGACCTCCGGGTCTGAAAAGTGAAGCCTATGCACATAGTGCCCTGAGCCTGCATTCTCATTAACGGCCATCAGGGGGCGACCCATTGGGTTGCAAAAAATCATTCTGATTGTCTAGAAGTCTAAGACAAATGACCCTACTTCTCACTTATTCCCTCAGTAAACATGAGTGTGCACATGAGATAAAGGTCTCAATCTCTAGTTTTAGTCTTTTTCAATACAGCATGATGTTCATTGAGTAAACGGTTGATAAGGTGGAATAGACCATGACGGACGGCGTGGCTCCTTAGGGATCCACCGTTGGCATCGTCCATCTGGGAGCTGTCAGTGTTTTCACCCGACAGCTTGAACCCTTTCACAGTTGGTTTCTCAGCTCATCAGGGTCAATTCTAACCTTTCCTGTGGCTAAAAAATGTTTTACTTCCAGGTTCGGTTATAATTAGCTCCAATCTGACAAAAACCTTTTGTCTCATGCTTTTAAAAAGGCTGACTGATTATCAGAAAAGTTTCCAGCTGACCGTTTGCATTTAATAGTGGAGTCCAACAGGGGGAATGATTTGTGTCCCTGCAGGTGGTGTACTACGTGTTTGCTGTGTTTGGCATCTGGCTGTTTGAGGGAGCCATTACACCTCCTTCAGAGATGAGGTATAAGGTTCATCTGCTCTGTGTAGTGTTTCCTCTCACCTTCTCACGGACTGCAGATGTAGATTTAGTTAGACGCTAAATCTGTATTACTGGTTTCAGATGAAACGAAAATCCGTAACCTGTATTTGTTACATGAAGCAACCGAATGAATGTGAGCAGCCCTTATTGTGTGTTTGTGTGCGTCCCAGTGTGCTCTCCAATACCTCCATGGAGAACATCACGTCTAACTTCAGCATGGAGTGTGGCACCTACGAGCAGCTGGAATACTGGCCAAACAACTTTGATGACTTTGCTGTGAGTAACAAAACCCGTTTGCTTTCAGTCAGCTGGGTTTCACTCGAGTTACGCAATCATTCCCGCTCTGATGTTTTACCGATCTCTCTCTATACCCCCCCCCCCACCAGGCCGCCATCATGTTGCTGTACAACGTCATGGTGGTGAACAACTGGCAGGCCTTCCTGGAAGCATACAGCCGCCACACCACTGAGTAAGCAGACATGTGACGTGCAGCTGCATCTGGTGCTGGTGGGGACGGATGATGGCGATGCTGAAGAGCGTGTTTTAATTTCTTTCCCCAGTTGGTCGAAGATCTACTTTGTGTGTTGGTGGCTCACCTCCTCGGTCATGTGGGTCAACTTGTTTGTGGCTGTCATTTTAGAGGTCAGTTCCCCTCAGGCGCATGCATGCACACGCTCATTCAGGACTTTTATAACGAGCAACAACAAAAAAAAACTTCAGTTACATGTTTTGATGCAGTTGACTAACCTGCCGATGGATTAGACTAGAGACACACTTCAAATAATAACATGGAGACAGTTCAAACAAGGACCCTCCTTTTTCCTCTGTGTTGATTCTTAAGACTCGTGGTTGATTTGGTGACACTTCACTGGTGGTAACTCCTACTGGTCTCACAGTACTAGAAGCTACAAAACAAAGAGTTGTTGTTTACTAAAGAAGTCAGTTCCTTTTCCATATCTGTGGCTGCTCGCTTGTTCCATTACTACCTGCAATGTAACTGATCAATTGTGATTCAACTGTTAAATGAGGGATGGCAGTCAGTGCTGAAGTCATATATTTAAATTGCACTTGTGTTGCTGGTCAAATGCTTTAAGTGAGAAGCTGCTGAAGTTAAAGTTTCCTCACTCGAATGAATCAAAATAAAAAACACTGAGACACCTTTTAATGTTAAATACATAATAAATGTGGTAACGAGCCTTATGTTTCCCGACAGAACTTCATCTACAAGTGGGACCGTAGTCACAGCTGCTCTGTTACAGATGTGGAGAGGATCCGATATGAAACATCTGTTCAGCTCATATTCAGGTAGGTTGATGCTGCCGGTTTGTTGCAGCTCATACACCTTTAAAAACATCACTGCTTGCCACATCACTCGCCCTCTTCCTCTGCAGAGAGCAGATCCAGGAGCCGACCGAAGAGGAATTACTGTGTCAGTTAAACCTTCACCCCCACTTACACCTACACTGGTGACACACACACACACACACACACACACACACGGAGCACCAGCTCCTACATGCACCTGGGAGTCAAGTGAATGCTGCTGTGGTGAAAGCACTGAGATGTCAGTGTTCTGGTACAAGTGTATTTTAAATGATTTAAATATGTAATGACTTCTACTGAAACGAGTATGGAAGGTGTGTTATGATGATTCATGAACCACTAGTACATGCTGGGACATTCTACAGTATTTGTTAATGCCTTCACAGTAACTGCTCAAGAATTTAATCAAACTGTGCCAAAAACCTCCGACCGATTTGAAATATGATACACTGAAGGGCGAATCCAAATAATATTACTTGAGATGTTATTCACTGTAAAATTGAAGAATTTGCTTCGAAATGAAGCAATAGGGCAAGATTAAAAAAATCTAACAAAAATTGTGGAAAGAAATATGCAGATGGAAAACTCGACAATAAAAACAGTATCAACTTATCTGTATCAATATCCATATAATATAACAATGCAGAAGTGCCTTAAACGTGCGTTCTTTCTACTGGCCAACAGGGGGCGACTCCTCTCTTTGCAAAGAGAAGTCTGGTTTAATGAAAACTTGATTTATTCCTCAGTAATCGTTGTAATCGTGACTTTATAATCTCAATATCTAGTTTCCATTATTCAATACAGTATGATGTTTATTTAAAATTGACCATAAAGAAGGGTGTGCTTTAGGGCGGGGCCACCTTTTGATTGACATATCCTTCATACAGCCTTGTCCAGTCTTGGAGTTGCACAGTGTGTTAAAATGTAAACGGGTGTTTGGTAAAGCGAAACGGGGTTTTCCAAGTATCATCACATTCTAGTACATGGGTCAGCAAAGAATGTATGTTAAAATATATACTTTCAATCAAAGCAGGTTTCAGAACACACCCACTTCTTGATAATAAAACGACTCCCACCCACAGGCTCACACACATCTGTCTGCTGGCAGGTTGGAGTTACACAAACATGTACTTCTGGCTCTGTGTTTTGCACAAACAAGAGAGGACGCACACCCGCAATCCCTCACTGTAGCCGTTGTGTGTATGGAATAGACCACTGAGATGAAATCACATTGTTGACACAACCTCCTGCATGTGGGGACCATGTGTTACGTATGGATGATAGGATTCAGAAGATGGACCTTTGACGTTGCGCGACAGCTTCAGTTGTTTTGCTCTGATGTGACATTGACATCCGTTGCCTGTTTTTTATAACCCCTCAAACGAGCCAAACCACTTTAGCAACAAAATAAATTTGTGAATTGTGTGTTTCGCACACTGCATGAAAAAACATCCACCAGGAACCAGGAAGTAGGCCTCTGACCAGCAGTACTCGGATTCCACCCACACTGCTCGTGTAGTGAAACATGACTCACTTTGACCGATTTGTTCCTGGTTTTGACATCCTGCTAACAGATGGAACCAGAAACAAAAGCCTTCTTTATATCCAACATATCAGGTTCCTGGTGAGGAAGTAGGCTGCATATGGATTATCATCCTTGTGCTGTATATAATCAGAACTAATCAGAATCTGAACATTTGTTTCTGTCTTCAGAGTCTAAAGTTCTGAATAAAAAACACGGGGGGGAAATGTGTGAAATAAATAAATATATATATTATGTGGATGTATAGGGAATTGGACTGCAACTGTTATTTTTATTATCTAGAGATATTTTGTGAACTGTTATAACTATGAAGATATCTAAAAACATATTTTAAATAAATAATTTACAAAAATCGAAAGAATGACTGTGATTTAATTTGTTTTGTTTCATGTGAGAGGGTTTCACCTTCCTCTGTTTGAAGTTACCCAGTTCACCTCAATGTGCAGCCATATTGCCTTTGGTCTTATCATGTTACACAAACACACACTCACACTTTTTAAGAACAAATTCCCGTACTTGTGATGTAGAAACCACTACCATGGCGAGGTCAAAGGTCATGCAGATCAGCCTCATTGGAGAAGAAGAGGTATTTGTCCCGTCACTGAATACAGACATTACTTTGGAAATATGAGTTTATCATAACATCAGAGAAGAAGAGCAGAATAACAAAGCTTATTAAGCAACCGTGTCGGTATCAAAGTCAAGAAAATGTAACAAAAACCTGAAAGATGCTTTTGGTTTCATCAGTGATTAGGTTTTGTGTTGAGTAGCTCATGTTTTAAATCAAATAACATTCAACGTACATGTTTTGTCTTTGTCTTCAGTCTCATTTTTTGTTTATACAGTACATCGAAAGAGAGTCACCAAAAGAGAAATGTGTGACCTACTGAACAGTGTTTTGTACGTGTTTAATTATTAGTGTCTCGGTCTGTCGAGGGAAAAGGTTTGGATCTGGCTCCTCTGTATTTTACTGTTGTCAATTTCAAATCATACTATATGTACATATTAATAAATGTTGTGTTTTACTAGTGTTTAGCAGATTCGTCTTGTGGTCAGTTCTTTGAATAAAACATGTTTTTGTTTCAGAAACTGCTGCACCAGTCATCTGAATAATGTAAACATTAAACAGGATCATTTCAATATTATATTCTAAGTTATAGAGACAGTCAAACAGAGCTTTAGGAGTTAAAGGAACACATGGATTACAGATTGTAGAAGGTGAGGATTACACGACAATTGCAGCCTGATGTGACAGGAATGAAATGAAGTGCTTTGTTTTATTTTGAATCCGTCCCCTTTTTTTTGAAAAGTCTAGTCACTAGGGTGCACTGGGAACCGCAGGGTTGGTGGTTCGAGTTCCGGCTGCCCCATGTCTCAAGTCGAAGTGTCCCTGAGCAAGACACCGAACCCCTAATTGCTCCCCGGGAAAAGATGTAAACAAAAGCCATGGGTTTAAAGTGTAATGTAAGTCGCTTTGGATAAAAGCGTCAGCTAAATGACCTGTAATGTAATGTAATGCAATGTAGTGTCGTAAATGTACAGCTGCTAATTAGAAAGAGCTGTGATGCGCTGCGCGGCCTGCAGAGGGCTCCACTGCGCCTCGCGGCCGAGAGTCTGCCGGCACGTGCGCAGAAGAAGAAGAAAGCGGAAGTGACCTCGTTTTATAATCGAAAAACTCGTTTGCCACGGTTTTTAAGTCTATTGGAAAGTGTTCAGTTCCTCAACGTGAAGTCTGCGAATAAGCGGACATGGAGGGTAAGTCCAGTTTCAGGGAAGAGAGTAAAGTGTCTGGTTAAAGTAGACGTAACGTGACTACACACAAAACCGACCGACTCACGTGAAGCCTCGTTTCCGATCCAGCTAACGTGACGTGTTTAATCATCGTCTCCTTCGCTGTTACCACGCGCTCCTTGTGACGTTAAGGGGTCCCAGTCAACGGCATGGAATTAAATCAGTGCTGCAATTCAGAAACATTTTCATTTATGAAAAAAAGCCTGCATTTAAAATACAAACGTTAGTCCACAAACCCACGGGTGACGTCACGACGGCAGGCAATGAAGCGTTGCATCTTTCTGTACAGAGGAAGCAGATTGTTCTCCCAAATGACGTCATCCTGTCTGAACTGTCAGATTTGTTCTGGGTCAGTGTGTCAGTCTGTACTTTCTCAGTCTCACTGCACAGAATGTAATATTAGTCAGTAATACACGTCAGACAGGTCTGTGTAGTGTGTGTATGTGTGTCAACACACACACACACACCTTGGAATGTTTTCCCTTGAGGCTAAACAATTAAAGATTGAACGACATGTACCGATAGCTGAGAGTTGGACTGTGTACACGTTGTTGGATACTTGGTGTTGTTTTTTGCCGGTGCCAGAGGGAAGTCCCTGCCCTAAAAACAACTAATCCAAATAGAATTTGATAACCATCCCTCACATTTAGACTTCCAAGTGTTTAAAGTTATATCAAACTCTGAGGACACAGATAAAGATCCTGCCCAAATCTTGGGGACAACTTTGGTGAAGTTTTTTTAGTCGCAGTCTGAGATTCTCCAGACTGATGAAATCAACCGGGATCGGATGACAGGTTTCCCTCTTTGATTCTGTTTCTTCCTCATCAGGGTCCTCACACACCAATCGCTTTTCCTAAGGAGCTTTTCAATTTGCTGCAGAAAGTATGATCTGATGGCAGAGAGCCAACAACCCCTGGTGCTTTGTGGTCCAGTGTGTAACTGGTTTTGTTTGACCTGTTCAACAGACTCGCTCATTCGAGTTGGGATCCCTCGGGACCTGGTGAAGGTTCTCGGTGTGGAGGTGAGTCGATACCACCTTGTCAACCGCTGTACTATGAAATGTGTATTCCACAAGTGTCATCTGTCCGTGCAAAGACTTTCCTACAAAAAATCATAACTATTGATATTGATTTCATTGTTTTTGTACATTTTTCATTACACAAAAACCAAAATGCTTCTTTCCACTTTTTAAAAATATGATTGATTTGCTGCCTACCTTCATTAAGTCAATGACAATGCAACAATAGTCAAATTAATATCTTTTTAATTTAAAAAGCAGCAAGAAAAACAATAGGCCCATTTAATGGAGCATTAACAAGCCTGAACTAAAGCATTCATATATTAATTATGACAATTTCCCACAAAAGAAGTTCTGATGATGAAGTGATGACTTTTGGACGGCTGGAAACGGCGCTTTGGTTGACAGAAGCACAGAACTGCCAGGAGATCATTTCATATCACATGCTCATACGCATTGATTTCTTTTTTTTTTTTACAAAATAGTTTGAACTATCTTTTCTGAGTAGCTTTTATCAGCCAAAGTAGATATTTCCTCCCCCATTGGGGGAAAGAGAAACAAATCAAATTTACATTTTATATTACATTGTCTCATCTCTGTCACTGTCGCTGTGTCACACTCTCCCTTCCAGTCCCAGGGCGACTCTAAAGCCGGGGCCTTCACCCGGGCCTTCCTCAACAGCCACATGCGGCAGGACTCTAGATTGGACCCCAGGACGCTGCTCACTCACAAAGCGGTGATTCTGGACTTCTGCCGGCCCAAGAAGGACAAGTCCAAGAGGAAGAGCAAGAGAGCCAAAGGACTGAACGCTCGGCAGAAGAGGGCGATGAAGGTCTTCCACCTCAAGCCTGAGCACCAGAGGTTGGTGGCGCCTGCTGAAGGACGAGGGGCCCAATGGGGGGGGCACGACTGTTGTTGACATCAATGCACATGCAGTTGTTTACCTTGTCCCTCTCCTCTTCCCAGCATCAGCGTCTTTTTCGTTATCGTTGCAGATACGAGCTTTTCCTGCCCCTGCATGAGCTGTGGAGACAGTACGTCATCGACCTGTGCAATGGACTGACACCAACGTGGTAAATCACAGCGTAAACTCTGCCCCGTTCTGCCGGCGTTTTTTGAAGCGATGTCCGAAGCCTTTACGCCGTGTTGTGGTTTTCACAGCAGTCCGCAGTTTGTGCAGCAGAAGCTTCTGAAGGCAGATTTCCACGGTGCCATCCTCACAGGTACATATGGAGGTGCTTGTAAAAACAACAGTGGGCAGATATTGTAGTTTGTAATGTGTGTAAAGCCCACATCCTTCCAGATGTCACTTACTTCATAGAAAATTAGTAGACATTGAAATTCAAGTACTGGAACCGCTTTGCTAGTGAAAACAAGTAGATCGGCACAAAGCTTGATGTTTCCGATCACCAGTACAGTGTAATTATCTTTTTTCTTCTTTCCCATACATCAATCACGTTATTAACCATTTGAGTAAGGCGCTGCTGCCATCATGTTGATGGATTAAAGTACCAGATGCGTTTCTTATCTCTCTCTCGTAGTGGTCCGCTCTAAATGCCCATCGTACGTCGGCGCCACAGGGATTCTCGTCCAAGAGTTCAAGCACATCTTCAAAATCATCACCAAAGAAGACAAGCTGAAAGGTAAGACGCCGTCCACAACCCAACGGGTGGCGCCGTGTCCACTTTGTCTAAACAGTCCGAGACTGTCACCTGGCCATGACCTTCACACGGTGGTACGACGAGCATCAAAGCTGTACAGAGGGGAGGTGGCATCATCTGAGGGCAGAGATGGCCTTATCTGACTGTCAAAACACAGACCTGCACGTTTTTATTCACTGTTACGAGCACTTTTCACAATGGCCTCAGGTAGACTTTGACTCCACTATACATTTCACATAGAAAAATGGTTGTTTGCCACTATATTAATTCTCTGAATATTGTATAAAGAGCCTTTTTAAAAACACTGGTGGAAAAGTTCATTCAACTTTAGTAAAATACTACTTGAAATCGCTGTGTCAATTTTTTTTCCCAACGATATTCTGCGCTTTGACACCGTGCTCTCTGTTCAGTGATCCCGAAGAGGAACAGCGTGTTCGCGGTGGAGATCAACGGCTTCGTCTCGCACATCTATGGCAGCAAGTTCGAGCACCGAGCCAGCGAGCGCTCGGCCAAGAAGTTCAAAGCGAGAGGAACCATCGACCTGTGAGGCGTCGCCACATGTGACCAACGTGTGGCAGATCCATGCAGGTCATCTCCTGCCCTCTAAATCCACATCTGGAGGAACATTGTTCTGTTCTGTTGACACCAAAGACTTGGTGACAACTAGGTGGCGCTTTATTATGAAGGCGAAAAGGTTTACCTGTCATGGGGAGCGCTGTTCACACAGTGAACTTGTGTTGTGTCCTCTGTGTGAGCAGCTCTGTCCACTCAGAGGACAAACCTCGGGATTCTATCAGGAACCTGAGCTGTACGTGAGGCGATCACCTCAGGAGGGGACGTCTCACTCTGTTGTACAGGGGTGTTACGGAGTGGACACGTTAACCTCACAGCAGGCTACTCTAGTCCCGCTTCCTGTTGTATTTATTGTTGTTGTTTTGAGATGCACACTTTTTGATCTTTTTAGATTATAACATCTCAGGCCTTTGCACGGCTGCTTCATGTTGTTGGGATAAAAAAATGAAATGCAAGTGTGTGATACTTTTATTTGCATTTGTTTATTAACATTTTAATAGAAATAAACATGAATATTCTTCAAATAAAAGTCTCTCCACAACTTGTCAACTCTTAAGCGTCAAACAGCTGTTACTGTTAACGCAGCTCTCATGCGCTGCCCTGATTAAACTTAAAGCCTCTCTGTTGCTCTCTGTGCGGTTTTACAGTAGTCGACTCACAATGTACTTAAACTTGTACTTTACTTATAATGGCTCTCATCTGTAGCAAGTTGTAAATATTATTATTTGATGAAATTTCCCTCGTTCTTCTGGGTCTTGTAACCTTATGGTTGAAATGCACTTTGGATAAAAGCGTCAGCTAAATGACATGTAATGTAATGGAGCAAAGGAATCGAAGTAGCTCTCGTCATTGGTTTGATTCAAGCATTAATTGTTTCCTCGTGTCGGCAACCGCAGGTTTGACGGCAGTATTTAGTTGCATTATTATTTGGTACTTAAGCTGTACAGAAAGGACAGAGTGAACTAGATGACACCATGTACTGCACTCTTTTGTAGGCCGTAAATTGCCGTTGGTCTACATTCTTCTGATGTCATCCACCTGCTGCTGGTTAAGCACAACCTACTGACTGCACGTTTGCCTCTTGCACATTCTTGGCTGCGTCCCAGAAGGCCTTGTTAGTTTTTTGTTTTCTGTCCAACTAGATATTGGCACCACTGACCTGGTTCAGAGTGTCCTATAACTAATGCGTCACATTAGTGCACATGTCAGGACACACTCTTTGCAGAGCCAAGATCAACTCTCTTACAGTAAATAGTGTAAACCTGTGCAAGAGCACGCTGTTTCATGACATACTTATTCTATCCTATGACATTTTATTGGCTTTTCAGTTTTGGTTGCCGCTTAACAATATAATGATATACCTTATGTTGTGTCCACCAAACGGTTATTATTAATCAATATAATATAAATATTTATAATGCAACTATTGTCTGAAATTCATATAAAGTGAATTTTAAATAAAAGTCGGTGATGGTTGAAAACCTGAGGTGGATATTTCCATAAATAACTTTCCTGGGAGGGAAATAGATTGGTGACGCCTTCTCTGCTCACATGGGTTTGTCTAAAGCTCCAACTCCCTTGGGCGACTCCCACGTCACCAGCACATAAAAGAAGCGCCCGTGCGCCGCAGACTGCACGATCCCAGGACAGCGTCTCAGCAGCGGGACTTCATGCGCAACAACAACAACAACAACAACAACAACGCACTAACGAACGGCTCGTGCTGACTTGTCACCTGAACACAAATGGATACGGATGGGAAATGGTTCTTGTTTACGCAGAACAACCGCGAGCGGATCCGCGCCGTGGAGAACTCGTTCGGGCCGTCGGGGAAGCCGCTGTACGAACCGGGTCGGTTTCTGCTGGGAGAGGGTCGGCTGGTGAAGATGACCCGCAAGGGGCCACAGCCCAGAAGGTTCTTCCTGTTCAACGACCTGCTGGTGTACGGCAGCATCATCGGCCGCTGGCACAAGAAGCAGATGATCATCCCCCTGGGTGAGCCACACGGACATCAGGCATCTCCAAACAGGGAGGGGGGCATAGACATGAAGGGGGGCTGCTGGTAGAATCCGGTTGAAATGTAGGCTGTTAACAGGTGCAAATTGATCTATTTTATTAGATTACCAAAAACAACAACCATCTACATAAGCTTAAGTTACTTAAAAGTTATAATAAGTGAAGATATGGTTACACAAGGCTGGTATTGCATTACATTTTGAGTGGGAACCGCAATCAAATCATATTTCAGAGTTTTTTTTCTGCACTCCAAAAGCTCTGGGGCTTGAATACACTGTAAAATAAATCATGGGTGTTCAACTTAAAAACAAATGTTCAATTGCTGCCTTACACTTTCGAGTAGTCAAATTGGATTTACAATTTGGTACAAATCATTTTTTGTTTAATTTAGCCATCGATTGCTCTCCGTAAGTTCACATGACTGTATAGTACATGTTTATCCAACTTAGCAACGTTAGTTTAAAAGAAACAACTCATTATCATGCATTCTATTCACTTGGTCTAACTACTTATTTCAACTCTTTTTTGAGTTAGAAGGAAATGTCACTAGTTCCTAGTAAATTTTACTTAAAAATATGCATCGTTTCAAATGACTGTTCCTTGTTGCAAAAGTCATATTTATTTCTCGCATTCAAATAAATATTTTATACATTATAACATGCAGATATCTTACAACTTCAAAACTGTATATAAACAACATTCAGTGGAGTTAAACAGAATATTCACAATAATATAATGTAGCTTTGATCCAACGCGACTTACAATAAGTGCATTCAGTCATAGGGGTACAAACTAAGAGCAAGAAACACGAAAGTGCAATTTTCTCAAATAAGCCAATTTACAATTTGCTATAGATGAGTGGGGTTATAAGTACAATTTAAATGCTACAATTTGTTAGTCTTTTAGTCGAGGAAGAGTCTGAAGAGGTGTGTCTTTATTTTGTGGCGGAAGATGTGAAGGTTCTCTGCGGTCCTGGTGTCTTCAGAGAGCCCGTTCCACCATTTCGGAGCAAGGACAGCAAAGAGTTGTGATCTAGTCGAGTGTTTTGCTCTCAGTGAGGGAGGGACAAGAAGTTTTGCAGATGCAGAGCGGAGAGTGCGGGTTGGGATGTAGGGTTTCACCATGTCCTGGATGTAAGCTGGAACCCGTTCCATTCACAGCATGGTACGTGAGCACCAGTGTTTTGAACTGGATGCGGGCGGCCACCGGTAGCCAGTGAAGAGAGCGGAGGAGTGGAGTAGTGTGGGAGAATTTCGGAAGGTTGAAGACCAGTCGAGCTGCTGCATTCTGAATGAGCTGCAAAGGTCGAATGGCGGTAGCGGGGAGACCAGCCAGGAGGGAGTTGCAGTAGTCCAGGCGGGAGATGACAAGAGCCTGAATCAGTACCTGCGCTGCCTTCTGAGTGAGAAGGAGACGAAGGGTGTATCTACGCTCTAAAAAATGTCATCGTAAATTAATAGGATTTTACAGGCAGCAAGGACGTCAAGAATTTACCGTTATTTTACGGTATAATACCGTGAATGTTTTTTACACTATGTTACCGTAAATTTGATTTACTGTTTACTGTTTGTTACCGTTAACTTTTATCTGTTACCTTGAACTAATTTTACTGTGAATTAACTGCAATTTACTGGCGGTTGACGCTAGTAACTTACTGTTTTATTTACAGTGCCCTACCATATTTTACAGTATGTTGTTGTATATTAGATTACAGTTTATTACCATACGATTACTGTTTTTGTGTTATAAATACCAGAATGTTACCGTTTACTTATAACCGTATACTTTTGCATTTAATTCCCCACAAATTAAAGACAGACAACCAAACTCATTTCGGTCATAGTGGTTGGAGTTTATTAGATCTCTTTAAGAAAAAAATATTAGACATTTGCAACCAAGAACAAAACATAAAATATGCCGCATGTATACAATAATAAAAAAATGAATCATGAAATCATTAGGAACATGGTAAACTAACTGCAACAATACGCTTTGGAACACTTTCAATTGACCGCAGCAAACGGCTGGCGTCCTTAATCCAGTGCCTCTGTAAAACAAACCAAAATAAAATATTTAGAAACACTGTCATTGGTAAAATATCAATATTACAAAATTGAGGAAGACAACAAGATGTAAGGAAGGAGAATGTTAATCATGCTAGGCAAATAACACTTACCAACGTTACTTGGAGAGACGAGGCAATGAGAGACTCCTCCCATGTTGAACTGCACTGACCGGTATTCTGGATGAACTGAGATTACGCGTCTGATGTCACGTTAAGGAGCAGTCGGTCACAATTAACACTCAAATCTCTTTTAGGCAATGAACACTTTGAATAATACAAATATTTATAATCTTTACATTCCGGCTACTGAATCTCATTATGATGACTTACAGGACCTGTTTTTCAGTGGCTTAAATAGGCTTCCATACATTAACCTACAACAGATGTAGATGGATTGTGATTCACTGCATTTGTATGTGTATTTCCATCACTTCATAAAATATATGTAACATGCAGTTGAATTACGGTAGTCTGCTAATATTGTAAATTGACAGGTTTTCCTGTTTATTCCTGACATTGGCCATTAATTTACAAGCAAGGGATGGAAATTTAACTGTATGATACAGTTATTTTGGGCGGCACGGTGGCGTAGTGGTTAGCACTGTTGCCTCACAGCAAGAAGGTCCTGGGTTCGATTCCACCCAGTGGCCTTTCTGTGTGGAGTCTGCATGTTCTCCCAGTGTCTGTGTGGGTTCTCTCCGGGTTCTCCGGCTTCCTCCCACAGTCCAAAGAGATGCTCTGCGGATCAGGTTAATTGGGGACTTTAAATTGCCCGTAGGTGTGTGAGTGTGAATGGTTGTATGTCTCTGTGTAGCCCTGCGATTGGCGACCAATCCAGGATGTACCCTGTCTATCGCCCAAAGTTGGCTGGGATGGACTCCAGCCCCCCCGCGACCCTGTGTGCAGGATAAGCGGTTTGACGATGGATGGATAAATATTTATTTATACAAGCATATGCAAGCAGCTGACCAGACATTATATCTTACAAAGAAATATCTTTGAAGATGACGTCCGGCTGCAGTGTCTCGAGTCTCGATGACGGTCCTCATGTCCCTTAATTAATCGTTAGTTGCACACAAAAAAATGACATTCCGAGACTTAAATATAATAGTTTGCCCGTTGGGCATTCTGTTAGCCCAACTAAAATTCAGGAGCATGCGAGGGGCAAACTTAATTCCCTCCACACCGGTTAAGGTAGGAAATGTGCACCACGTTACTTAACAATAGCCAACGTTAGGTCCCTAACTAGCGTTAGCTGCAGACATTTTAGCCACAACACAAGTAGTCCATGATCTGACCATAGCCCCATTACATGAACGTTGGCTTGATGGAATTATAGTTTTCTAAATGTCTTCAGAAACATAATATTGATAGCACTTCATATACTATTGTTCAATAAAGCAATAAGGTACGAGAGGCTGCTCTAGCTGTAAGTAAATGGATGTATGCTGAATCAGGTCAAGATCAGGACAAAATCAGAAATCCAATTGAAGCAAATATGAAAACACTTCAACAAATCGTAAAGCACAAGGACATTAACTTCTTATGGAAAAGTTAGGGCCTATCTAGCAGAGGACGGACCCTTCTGAATGGATAGATGGACTGACTGTTTTAAGGAAGGGGGGAATTATATGATAGGAGGAAATGAGTAGTGGAGTAAAACACCCCAAACAATACCAATATTTTAACTTCCATTCATCAATTTTCAAACTGCTTATCCTGCACACAGGGTCGCAGAGAGGGGGGGGGGGGGGGCTGGAGTCTGGAGTCCATCCCAGCCAACTTCGGGCGAGAGACAGGGTACACCCTGCACTGGTTGCCAGCCAATCGCAGGGCTACACAGAGACACACAATCATTCACACTCACATTCACACACCTACGGGCAATTTAGAGTCACCAATCTACCTGATCCCCAGAGGATGTCTTTGGACTGTGGGAGGAAGCCAGAGTACCCAGAGCAGAACCCAGAGAGGAACCCACGCAGACACAGGGAGAACATGCAGACTCCACACAGAAAGGCCACTGGGCAGAGTTGAGCCCAGGACCTTCTTGCTGTGAGGTGACAGTGCTAACCTCCACACCACCGTGCCGCCCATACGTTTACTTACAACACCTAAATGTAACAACAAAACTGGTGAAACACTAGTAGGATACTTGTAAGACACTCGTAAGACATCTCCATCTCTCCTGTCACTTTCGGCTGCTGGGCTCACTTCCACCCAGGGCTGTAGTGGAGGGTAAACGCACGTAAACGCCGTTTACGCACCTCTTGAATTTTGGAAATAGCGTTTAAGCACCTATTAATAGTGTTTACGCAACTCTAAGTGGCGTTCACGCACCTCCAAGTTCCCTGCGCCTTGTATTCTTCCGTTGGAATAATCCGAAATAAACTTGGTTTAATTTTCAAACAGCTAAGACTACGTTTCCTATTGCTGAACATATAAACGCCGTAGTCTGAATCATTTTCATCTGCGCTGTATTACGGTCTGTGAGCATCCAATCAGTGCCTTGCCGCTGCAGGAGCGACCAATCAGGATCCAGGAGGTGTGTAAACACACGGAGTCAGTTCTCAATATGAAAAAAAACATGCTGTATAGGCTATTTATGATGACATAGTACATGAGTGTTCCTTTAACTTATGTTGTCAGTGTAATTGACAGGCTGCTTAACTGGTTAACTCTTAAATTCAACATATTTTTGAATATGAGGACAGGCAATGATGCAGAGAGCACAGGGAGAGGAGAAACCAGGTCGAATAGAGAGAGGAGAAGCACAGAGGAGCCATGAACCCCAGAACACGCGTTCTGGGGTTCATGGCTCCTCTGTGCAAGGCAGGAACTGACGTGGAGGACAAGCAGGCCCTCTGGGCACTACTGTAAAAAGTAGATAGTTCTTAATCTGCAATTGTGTTGTTGTGTTGACATACTTTTCTTTACTGTTTTCTTAAATTTAATAAACTACAAACTACTAACACATTTATTCATTATCATTGATTGTATATGACTTTTACTGATAACATAATGCAATATAGCCAGGACAGCCTAACAGAGTCGCAACGCTTTGTGTTGCGTTGCTTCGCATCGCGTCGAGGTCTGTATGATCACAAAATTCAGAGTTTACCCACCTCTAATTTTACCACTACAGCACTGCTTCCACCCCTCCCTCACAGGCTCTCCCGCCACTGATTTCTTGATTCCCGTAATGTCTAGAAAGCAGCATTTCTCAGCTTTCAAAATCTGGGATTTCGTTTATTGCGCAAGTAGTTAAGGAGTTATGGTAATTTGAATGCTCAATGTCACTTTCAGTCACCGGTGAAAGGCTTCGAATTAAGACGGTTAAAACACAGTCAGTCCGTCTGTCCAATCAGAAGGGTCCGTCCTCTGCTAGATAGGCCCTACCCTTTATGATTTGCTCTTGTGTTTTCCTATTTGCCGTCGTGATTTGCACTTCAGGGCAGTGTTATTTGGGCAGCTATTTTTGATTTAGTCTTGCATATTAAAAATGCATATTAGTTTTGGTCACATTTAATCATAAATATTTCGGCATAGTTTTCATCCACGAAATTCACACTGCTTCAGGGCCACCATACGTTTGTGATCCGGCTGTTCAGAACGTACAATTTTACATGGGGGTCCAACGGAAATTGAAGCTTTTTTAAAAGTGGCCGTTTGAGGAACTGCAGTTATTGGAACTTTGGAATTTTGACTGTTGGACATAACCGTAATTAAATCTCACAGTATTTAGTTCATTACATTTTTTGACTATTTTGCAGTGTAGGCAGTTGGCAATTTTTAATCTATTCTATTGGATTACCAAAAGCAAGTCATTGATCTGAATAAGCTTGAGTTGCGTAAAAGTCAAACAATGTAAACCAAACCATAGGGCTTGAATGACAAAACCAGCAGAGGGTTTCTAAATATCACGTTCCTCTGAAATTCATTTCAATTGGACTGTTATTTTTTTATTTTCAGAGGACAGCCAACTTGAGGACCTAGAGAACGGATTATCAATAAAGAACCAGTGGCTGATCCGTACGCCACGCAAGTCCTTCTACGTGGCAGCCGCCTCCCAGGAGGAGAAGCGGGCCTGGATCCAGCAAATCGAGGACTGCCGGTCCATTCTGCTGCAGAACAGGGACTGCCGGACCAGCTCCCACTTTGCCAAAACCTGTATCCCCGACTCTGCCTCCGCAATCTGCATGCGCTGCTTCGACAGGTTCTCCGTGACCCAGCGTCGACACCACTGCCGGAAATGTGGCTTCCTGGTCTGCGCTGCATGCTCCAAGACCCGAGCGGTAATCCAACACATCCACCCGACTAAGTGCTGGAGGATCTGCATCGGGTGTCACACAAACTCCTCGAGCAGGACGACGGAGGAGGCCCAGCGGGTGTGTCACTGGAACGAGCACCACACAGAGAGGAGAAGCTCGGATGGATCAAGTGAGGAGGAGGAGGCCATGGAGCAGATGGAGGACGGTGACCCCCCCAAGTGGTTGAACTCCCAGGTGGAGAACTGGCCCATCTACGTCAACTTACAACCACACTGCACTACAACCGCACTCTGCACCGGGTACCACTCAAGCTCCTCGACCAGGACGACGCAGGAGGCCCAGCAGGTGTGTCACTGGAACGAGCGCCACACAGAGAGGAGATACTCAGATGGAGAGGATGGATCAAGTGAGGAGGAGGAGGCCGAGGAGCAGATGGAGGATGATGACCCCAAGTGGTTGAACTCCCAGATGGAGAACTGGCCCATCTACGTCAACCTACAACCGCACACATTCAGCCCTGAGCATAAGAAGGGGGAGAAGAAGAACAGCCTGGTGTGGCCTTGTTAATGGATGGACAGGATGCTTTGGACAGTGGAAGGTCATTATCATAAATAATGTATAAAGTTAAAATATATATATTTATACGGTTCTTATGTTCATTTTTTGATACATTTGGGGATTCATTTCCATTAGATGAATCTGTGATTTTGGTCATGTGTTTTAATGCTTCTATCTACTTGTCAACTTGAATGTTGACCACAAATGTGAATAACGTCTTTATACTTTTACAATGAGTAAGAGAGGAAATGTGTCTGCAAATGTTGTGCATTTGATAATAAAATAATGTGCTATGCAAACCTGTGTATTTTCACTAATATACAACCGCATCCGCTTAAGAGACCCCTCCTCCTTTCTGACTGTTCGTACTGTTACAGTTTTTTTCAACTGCTGACAAACAATCTTGCAAACCAGTCTGGTTTTATCAAAACACAATTCACAAAACCACACACCCAAACTGCAAAATACCTCAAAATGAAGCACTGCAACCGAAACTACACCTAGCATTATCAAAATCAAACTTTTACACAAAATGGCACACACTTCATTCATATTATCAGATTTGTGTCTAACCAACTACACATTGTTGGGCATAATGACAAGCACCTTCATCTTTAGTATGCTTTGCCATGATACTAAAATATGTGTCAGATTGTTCCAGGGTCCCAGTCAACGGATTAAATCAGTGGTGCAATTCAGAAACATTTTCATTTAAGAAAAAAGCCTGCATTCAAAATACAAGCGTTAGTCCACAAACCCACGGAGGACGTCACGACGGCAGCCAATGAAGCGTTGCATCTTTCTGTACAGAGGAAGCCGATTATTCTCCCAAATGACGTCATCCTGTCTGAACTGTCAGATTTGTTCTGGGTCAGTGTGTCAGTCTGTACTTTCTCAGTCTGACTGCACAGAATGGAATATTAGTAACACGTCAGACAGGTCTGTATAGTGTGTGTATGTGTGTCAACACACACACACACCTTGGAATGTTTTCCCTTGAGGCTAAACAATTAAAGATTGTACAACATGTACCGATAGCTGAGAGTTGGACTGTGTACACATTGTTGGATACTTGGTGTGGTTTTTTGCCGGTGCCAGAGGGAAGTCCCTGCCCTAAAAACAACTAATCCAAATAGAATTTGATAACCATCCCTCACATTTAGACTTCCAAGTGTTTAAAGTTATATCAAACTCTGAGGACACAGATAAAGATTCTGCCCAAATCTTGGGGACAACTTTGGAGATTCTCCAGACTGATGAAATCAACCGGGATCGGATGACAGGTTTCCCTCTTTGATTCTGTTTCTTCATCACCAGGGTCCTCACACACCAATGGCTTTTCCTAAGGAGCTTTTCAATTTGCTGCAGAAAGTATGATCTGATGGCAGAGAGCCAACAACCCAGGAAATCAGGAATCAGGAATCAGGAAACATTTATTAGCCAAAATATGTCAAACATACAAGGAATTTGTCTTGGCGGTTAGTGCGCAACAGTAGACAGACAAGACAACAGTGCACAAGTAATAAAATAAAGTGGAATGAAATGCTAATGCAATGGGTTAGTAGAATAAGGCTAAGGGTATGGGTTAGTATAAAACAAGGGAATAAAGTTGATGATGATGGTGTTGAAAGCAGAGCTGAAGTCCACAAACAGGATCCTGGCGTAGGTTCCTGGGGAGTCCAGATGCTGGAGGATGTAGTGGAGGGCCATGTTGACAGCATCGTCCACAGACCTGTTGGCTCTGTAGGCGAACTGCAGGGGGTCCAGGAGGGGGTCGGTGAGGGACTTCAGGTGGGTCAGGACTAGCCGTTCAAAAGACTTCATGACTACAGAGGTCAGGGCGACGGGCCTGTAGTCATTGAGTCCTGTGATCCTGGGCTTCTTGGGGACAGGGATGATGGTGGAGGCCTTGAAGCAGGTTGGTACGTGGCATGTCTCCAGGGAGGTGTTGAAGATGTCAGTGAACACCGGAGACAGCTGGTCAGCGCAATGCTTCAGGGAGTGAGGGGAAACGGACTCCGGGCCGGCTGCCTTACGGGGATTCAGTCTTCTAAAGAGCCGGTTAATGTCTCTCTCCAGAATAGAGAGGGTCGTTGCTGGTGGGGGAGGGGAAGGTGATATAGATGAAGAGGCGTGAGCACCTGATGGGCTGGGGGAGGGAGGGGAGGGGGACTGCAGCAGGTTGGTGGAGCTGTGGGGGATGGGATCAGGACATTGTCTTTCAAATCTGCAGTAGAACTCATTGAGCTCGTCTGCCAGGCGGAGGTCATTCATGGAGTGGGGGTTTTTTGGCTTGTAGTTAGTGAGGTGTTTGAGGCCTCTCCAAACCGAAGCAGAGTCACTTGCTGAGAACTGTTGTTGGAGTTTCTCAGAGTACGGTCGTTTAGCATCTCTCACCGCCTTGCTAAACTTGTATTTTGCCTCTGTGTACAAGTCTTTGTCCCCGCTCCTAAATGCCTGATCCTTCTGCAGGCGTAGTGTTCCGAGTTCCGCTGTGAACCAGGGTTTGTCGTTGTTGTAACTCACCCTGGTGCATTGTGGTACACAGCTGTCCTCACAGAAGCCGATGTAGGAAGTTACAGCCTCTGTGAACTCATCCAGACTGTCAGTAGCAGTCCTGAAAACATCCCAGTCTGTGCAGTCAAAGCACGCCCGAAGATCCTCCAGCGCCTCACTGGTCCACTTCTTGAATTCCCTCACTACAGGTTTGCAGAGCTTTAGTTTCTGCCTGTATGCAGGAATCAGATGGACCATGAGGTGGTCAGAGTGTCCCAGTGCAGCACGAGGGACGGCGTGATAAGCCCTGCTTACTGTGGTGTAACAGTGATCCAGCGTGTTCTCCTCTCTGGTGGGGCATTTAATAAACTGTCTGTATTTAGGAAGTTCATGGCTGAGATTTCCTTTGTTAAAGTCCCCGAGGACAATAACTAAAGAGTCCGGGTTGGTCCGCTCCACACGCCGTATCTGGTCGGCGAGTGTCCGCTGTGCCTCGTGCACGTTGCCCGCCGGCGGCATGTAAACACCGACCAGGATGAATGAAGCGAACTCACGGGGGGAATAAAAGGGTTTGCAGTTGATGAAAAAAGTTTCCAGATCAGGAGAACAGTGTTGTAGGATCACCGTTACGTCGTTGCACCAGCTGTTGTTGAAGTAGAAGCAGATTCCTCCACCCTTTGTCTTGCCGGAGAGCTCCGTGTCGCTTTGTGGTCCAGTGTGTAACTGGTTTTGTTTGACCTGTTCAACAGACTCGCGGATTCGAGTCGGGATCCCTCGGGACCTGGTGAAGGTTCTCGCTGTGGAGGTGAGTCGATACCACCTTGTCAACTGCTGTACTATAAAATGTGTATTCCACAAGTGTCATCTGTCTGTGCAAAGACTTTCCTACAAAAAAATCATAACTATTGATATTGATTTCGTTGTTGTTTTTGTAAAAAATCACAAAAAACAAAATCCTTCTTTCCACTTTTTAAAAATATGAACGATTAGCTGCCTACCTTCATTAAGTCAATGACAATGCAACAATAGTCAAATTAAAATCTTTTTAATTTAAAAGCAGCAAGAAAAACAACAGGCCCATTTAATAGAGCATTAACAAGCCTAAAAAGGTGCAAGATAGAATGAAGTTTCCATTTATTTTTATTTTTACTCGGACTTTTGACATTTCATTCAATACTTCCTTTAAACGGACGCTATGCAGTTCTTGCTTCGTAAATGTGTACTTATTTGTTGTCTTCTGACTTTGTATGCCCGTCACCTGGCCGCAGAGAAACTTATTAGCATTTGGTGGTCAGTTTCTGTTACCTCACAAAATAAATATTTGGCCCCAACTAAAGCATTCATATATTAATTATGACAATTTCCCACAAAAGAAGTTCTGATGATGAAGTGATGACTTTTGGACGGCTGGAAACGGCGCTTTGGTTGACAGAAGCACAGAACTGCCAGGAGATCATTTCATATCACATGCTCATACGCATTGATTTCTTTTTATATAGTTTGAACTATCTTTTCTGAGTAGCTTTTATCAGCCAAAGTAGACATTTCCTCCGCCATTGGGGGAAAGAGAAACCTATCAAATTTACATTTTATATTACATTGTCTCATCTCTGTCACTGTCGCTGTGTCACACTCTCCCTTCCAGTCCCAGGGCGACTCTAAAGCCGGGGCCTTCACCCGGGCCTTCCTCAACAGCCACATGCGGCAGGACTCTAGATTGGACGGGTGGCGCCGTGTGCGCTGTGTCCACTTTGTCTAAACAGTCCGAGACTGTCACCTGGCCGTGACCCTCACACGGTGGTACGACGAGCATCAAAGCTGTACAGAGGGGAGGTGGCATCATCTGAGGGCAGAGATGGCCTTATCTGACTGGCAAAACACAGACCTGCACGTTTTTATTCACTGTTACGATCACTTTTCACAATGTCCATCGTCTGTGGGAGGTGAGATGACGAGGTAGCACCTGAAACGTGTTGGAAAGGGTTAGACGCACCAATGCGACCAGTTTAAAGAGTTACTCTGGATCTAAAGGTGACGGTACAACCCAAGAGGCCGGCCCATAATCCATTTGCACATCAGCCATTTTTGACCTGATCCCCCTACTGCGCGTTTCTGCGTCCTTGTGACGGCTCAGTGCGACACTTGTTGGACCTGATCAGGGGAAGTGGTCCACTCATACGCATGTAACATAAAACAATACGATATTCATACTATGGCTGCACGGTATGGTCAGAAATCCATATCACTTCATTAAGAAAGATTCTGAGGTGTCCTGATATATAATGCTATTGCTTTTTCAAGTAAACACTCATTGACCCCGAAAAGGTTCGCCTCTTGCTGGCCAACTTGCTCGTAACTGGCCGGCGAGTTAGCGTGTTAGCTTGTTGTGGCTGCTAGTGTCGCCACCACAGTCTGTCGAGGGACTCGACAGACTCTGCAATAAAGTCTAATGTAACTTACGTCAGATTCTCCAAAACCAAAACCCTCCAAACAGACACAGCTCCTCTCTTGGGCACAAGTTGTGTTGGTGCATCTCTGGTCTCTCGTTGTTCCTCTTGTGTCGCTCTTTTCCGTGTTTCCATGTAGCAACAGAATTACTTCTTGTTGTGAGCTACCATTTGAACCGCTGTACCGTGCAGCACTAATTCATACTAAACTACGTGTTTTACTTGTGCACATTTGTCAGCCCCATGTCACAAAACACTAAATGACTACGTATGAAAGAGAAAACATGTTTAAAAAAAATGTAAATCTATTCAGTTATGTTATTGAGAAAACATTGTCTGGTTTTTATTGTCAGTCAACTAAAGGCTCAGAGTTCTGCTCAGGTAAACTTTGACTCCACTATACATTTCACATAGAAAAATGGTTGTTTGCCGCTATATTAATTCTCTGAATATTCTATAAAGAGCCTTTTTAAAAACACTGGTGGAAAAGTTCATTCAATTTTAGTAAAATACTACTTCAAATTGCTTTGTCAATTTTTTTTTCCAAGAATATTCTGCTCTTGCGGCGCGCTTTGACACCGTGCTCTCCGTTCAGTGATCCCGAAGAGGAACAGCGTGTTCGCGGTGGAGATCAACGGCTTCGTCTCGCACACCTACGGCAGCAAGTTCGAGCACCGAGCCAGCGAGCGCTCGGCCAAGAAGTTCAAAGCGAGAGGAACCATCGACCTGTGAGGCGTCGCCACATGTGACCAATGTGTGGCAGATCCATGCAGATCATCTCCTGCCCTCTAAATCCACATATGGAGGAACATTGTTCTGTTCTGTTGACACCACCGATCACCTCAGGAGGGGACGTCTCACTCTGTTGTACAGGGGTGTTACGGAGTGGACACGTTAACCACACAGCAGGCTACTCTAGTCCCGCTTCCTGTTGTATTTATTGTTGTTGTTTTTTCCTCATGTTTTTGTTTCTTGCATTATTATTTGGTACTTAAGCTGTACAGAAAGGACAGAGTGAACTAGATGTCACCATGTACTGCACTCTTTTGTAGGCCGTGAATGGCCGTTGGTCTACATTCTTCTGATGTCATCCACCTGCTGCTGGTTAAGCACAACCTACTGACTGCACGTTTGCCTCTTGCACATTCTTGGCTGCGTGCGTCCCAGAAGGCCTTGTTTGTTTTTGTTTTCTGTCCAACTAGATATTGGCACCACTGACCTGGTTCAGAGTGTCCAGAAACTACTTCCTGTATTTAAAGCCAACTGTGTGTGGGTTCTTTAGGAAATGCCGACACACACACACACAAACACGCCTAATTTAATGTCCCATAACTAATGCGTCACATTAGTGCACATGTCAGGACACACTCTTTGCAGAGCCAAGATCAACTCTCTTACAGTAAATAGTGTAAACCTGTGCGAGAGCACGCTGTTTCATGACATACTTATTCTATCCTATGACATTTTATTGACTTTTCTGTTTTGGTTGCCGCTTAACAATATAATGATATACCTTATGTTGTGTCCACCAGACGGTTATTATTATTCAATATAATATAAATATTTATAATGCAACTATTGTCTGAAACTCATTTAAAGTGAATTTTAAATAAAAGTCGGTGATGGTTGAAAACCTGAGGTGGATATTTCCATAAATAACTTTCCTGGGAGGGAAATAGATTGGTGACGCCTTCTCTGCTCACATGGGTTTGTCTAAAGCTCCAACTCCCTTGGGCGACTCCCACGTCACCAGCACATAAAAGAAGCGCCCGTGCGCCGCAGACTGCACGATCCCAGGACAGCGTCTCAGCAGCGGGACTTTATGCGCAACAACAAAAACAACAACAACAACAACAACGCACTAACGAACGGCTCGTGCTGACTTGTCACCTGAACACAAATGGATACGGATGGGAAATGGTTCTTGTTTACGCAGAACAACCGCGAGCGGATCCGCGCCGTGGAGAACTCGTTCGGGCCGTCGGGGAAGCCGCTGTACGAACCGGGTCGGTTTCTGCTGGGAGAGGGTCGGCTGGTGAAGATGACCCGCAAGGGGCCACAGCCCAGAAGGTTCTTCCTGTTCAACGACCTGCTGGTGTACGGCAGCATCATCGGCCGCTGGCACAAGAAGCAGATGATCATCCCCCTGGGTGAGCCACACGGACATCAGGCATCTCCAAACAGGGAGGGGGGCATAGACATGAAGGGGGGCTGCTGGTAGAATCCGGTTGAAATGTAGGCTGTTAACAGGTGCAAATTGATCTATTTTATTAGATTACCAAAAACAACAACCATCTACATAAGCTTAAGTTACTTAAAAGTTATAATAAGTGAAGATATGGTTACACAAGGCTGGTATTGCATTACATTTTGAGTGGGAACTGCAATCAAATCTTATTTCAGAGTTTTTTTTCTGCACTCCAAAAGTTCTGGGGCTTGAATACACTGTAAAATAAATCATGGGGGTTGAACTTAAAAACAAATGTTCAATTGCTGCCTTACACTTTCGAGTAGTCAAATTGGATTTACAATTTGGTACAAATCATTTTTTGTTTAATTTAGCCATCGATTACTCTTCGATTACTCATTATCATGCATTCTATTCACTAGGTCTAACTACTTATTTCAACTATTTTTGAGTTAGAAGGAAATGTTACTAGTTCCTAGTAAATTTTACTCAAATATGCATTGTTTCAAATGACAATTTATAGATATAACAAAACACCATGTATTGTTGCAAAAGTCATATTTATTTCGCGCATTAAAATAAATAGTTTTTACATTATAACATGCGCATATCTTACAACTTCTATACTGTATTTAAACAGAATATTCACAAAAGGTTTGGACAGAAAAACCTTAATTGTAATGTAAAATGGACTTCAATTTACAAATGAGCAACCCCATACATCAAACTCCGGCCACAATCGGCCCGCCGGGGGGTACTGCCGACTTTAGCGTACTGTAGCAGAGCCGGTCGGACCGTCACCGCCACTGGCACACCCCCCTCCCGCCCCCCCTCTACCGCAATTGTCTGGCCCGTTTTCGGTCGAAGTGGGCTGCATCCGAAACTAGAAAATGCATGCGGCCGAGGTTTTTGAAAACTAAAAGTGTGTTGCCAACAACGCCACCTAGGTAAAAGCCAAGAGCCCTTGGAACTCGAAATAATTAAAAACACGGTTTGTTTGTTTGGGGGAGAGCAGTGAAACAATGACCCAAGAGGAGACAGGGGCGGAAATACTAATAAAACATATTTATTTTAATACAATGATTAAAATATATAAAGGAAGCTAAGATAGTCCGTCCAAACTCGTCACCACAGTAGAGCGAAGTCCTGCGCGTCCTTAGTCCACCGGTTCAGACGTCTGACTGCCAGCTGCCCTCTGCTGCTGCTTCTGGTGGTGCATCAGCTTCTGCTGCTGCTGGTGGTGGTGGTGGTGCGTCTGCTTCTGTCCTCTGCTGCTGCTGCGTCTGCTTCTGCTGCTGGTGGTGGTGGTGTGTCTGCTTCTGCTGCGGCTGCTACTGCTTCTTGCATTCGCTCAACACTGCGCCTTTTCCCTGCTCCTTCTCCCTTCTTCCGCCAGTGTCCCGTCTTCCTGTTTAAAAAGAATAAGTCACGCCCCTGGCCTTTCCCCATATGCCACTAATTGGTAACTTGTCACTGGGGACGATTGTTAATTGAGGATACAATGCAAACCAAAACTCGAAGCACACAATAAATCGTTGAACATGCAATCATAAATCAATAAAATATGCAATCAATAAAGCATGCAATTGTCCCCAATCGTCCACCCAGTGACATACTCCCCCACTTAAACGTAGGCAGTCCCTGCCACTGGACAAGCCTAATGTCGATATCGGCTTGGTGGTAATCCACAGGTAGCTTGTGCCGACCGGCGGAGCGCAGTGTCCTGCTCGTGGTTCAGGAGGCAAAATGTCTGCCCCTACCTCAAGGGGGCTCTCAAGCAGGTACTACATAGAATCCAAAAGGAACAGGGTCTACTTCCGCCTCTGTCTGAACTATAGTGGCTGGTTCAGGGATGACATGGACAGGGGTTATACAAGGTTAAGGCATTCCTGTGCTGGGTTCTGTCCTTCCCACTGCTCTCTGGCCTAACTTTGTATACTACTCCAGAATCACCCACAAGGCTAACGACAACATAGGGCTCTGGGTTCCACCATGATCGTAACTTCCCTTGTCCCTGTCTGTTCCTATCTCGCACCCACACTCGTTCACCTGGGAGGAGGGATAACGCCTGGGCCTTACGGTCATAGCTTCTCTTATCGCGTTCGGCGGCATGACCCATCCTATCCCTAGCGAGCTTGTAAGCTTCTACTCTACCGTTCCCAGCCGGGTGGTAGGGCGTTGTTCTACTCTTTGTTACTCCATACATGGCACAAAGCTTCTGCATCAAAGTGGAATCAAAATTTGGGCCTATGTCTGAATGGAAACAACCTGGGCAGCCGAATGTCTGAATAACATGAGACCATATTGCCCTGACTGAAGTCTTTGCTGTCTGGTCTCGAGTAGGGATAGCTCATGCATAACGCGTCATTACAAGGATGTTTTGATATGCATCTATCGGCCTACCGAGAGAAAGGAAATCAAGGGCAACCACCTCAAGGGGGTATGACACTACAATTGGGTTCAGGGGTGCCTCCATTTTGTCCTTCAAGCTACATGCGACGCACCCCGAATGAAACCCCTATACCTCTTCTTCCATACGAGGCCAGTAGAAACAGCGTTGAATATTGGCCAAGGTCCTCCCAATTCCTGGGTGTCCAGCCACCTTATGGTATCTCTGCCAGACCTCTTGGCACCTAGATGCTGGGCATACGATTTGGGATAGTAGCTCGTCAGTGTTGGGGTCAGTTACCTCTCGGTAGAGCACCTGCTCTCGGACAACCAATTTCTTCCATTGTTGGAGGATCCTTCTGGTCTTTTCGGTCATAGTCCTCTTCTCTGCTCCTTGTGGAGGCGGTCCCTGGCCCACATACCTCTTGATGATGGCAATGTCTGGGTCATCTTGTTGCCGGTTTCCCCAATTGCCGGATAGTGGCGCCACTCCGTCCTCTTGGTTGAGTCTAGCAGTAGTAAGGTTGACTTTAGCCGATGTTATACCTGTGCCCATGGACACTTAGAGGAACCTGGACAGGGCATCAGCATTAGCATTCTCTTTTCCAGAGCGGTACTTCACGGTGTAATCAAAAGAGGCAAGTTGTGCGACCCACCGCTGTTCCACAGCACCCAGGCGAGCAGTCTGTAAATGAGCCACTGGATTGTTGTTTGTGAAAACATCAAACTTAGCCCCGGTCAGGTAATCTTAAGAATTTCTCCACAATATCCCACTTTAATGCCAAGAGATCTAGTTTGAAGGAGCTATAGTTTGCATCGTTCTGTTCTGCCGGGTGCAAGCTACGGCTAGCATAAGCTATTACACGCTCTCGGCCCTCTTGCACTTGGGCAAGGACAGCCCCCAGTCCTCTGTTACTGGCATCAGTATACACTACAAAAGGCAGAGCAAAGTCAGCATAAACTAGGATTGGGGCTTGGGTTAGGCCAGCCTTCAGTTGCTCAAACGCGGATTGGCATTCTTTTGTCCACAGTATCTTCTGGGACCCAGAACTTTTTATCAGTGGGAATACCTGCTAAAAGCGTATTCAAGGGTCGGGCAATCTTTGAGAATCCCGATACAAAACGCCTATATTAGCCTGCCAATCCTAGAAAGACTGACCTGTTTGATGGTCGTTGGAGGACTCCATTCGGTGACTGCAGACACCTTCTCAGGATCGGGACAGACCCCTTCCCTGTCAACCACATGCCCCAGAAACTTCGCCCGTTTCTGCAGAAGTAGAGCGAAGTCCTGCGCATCCTTAGTCCACTGGTTCAGACGTCTCGGACTGCCAGCTGCCCTCTGCTGCTGCTGGTGGTGGTGGTGGTGTGTCTGCTTCTGCTGCGACTGGTGGTGCGTCTGTGTCTGCTTCTGCTGCTGCTGCTACTGCTACTGCTTCTGCTTCCTGCATTCGCTCAACACTGCGATGTGTTCCTTTTCCCTGCTCCTTCTCCCTTATTCCGCCAGTGTCCCATCTTCCAGTTTAAAAAGAAAAAGTCCCGCCCCTGGCCTTTCCCCATTGGTCCATTGGCCATATGCCACTAATTGGTAACTTGTCACTCGGGACGATTGTTAACTGAGGATACAATGCAAACCAAAACTCGAAGCACACAATAAACCGTTAAACATGCAAACGATCATAAATCAATAAGTCATAAAACATGCAATCATAAATCAATAAAATATGCAATCAAAAACATGCAATTGTCCCCAATCGTCCACCCGTGACAGAATGCTAAAAGCTGAAATGAATTTTTAAAAATAGCTGAGATTACAGAAAGTTGAAGGGAATTTTAATACATTTGCTGAAATTACAGATATTAGAAAAGGTGAAATTAATTTGAAATTGCTAAAAATACAGAAATTGGAGAAGCTGAAAGGAATTTCAATAGATTTGCTGAAAAAGCAGAAATGAAAACAGCTGAAATTAATTTGAAAAAATACAGAAATGAATATTAAAACATTGCTGTTAATACAGGCATAAGAAAAGCTGAAATTATTTTAAAGAACTGCTGAAAATACAGAAATGGGAGAAGCTGAATTTCTAAAAAAGAAAAAAAGTTGCCGGAGCTTAAATGAATTTTAAAAAAGTATTTGTAAGCGTAGTTACAGTGTCACTACTAGTGGTAGTAATAGTATTTTTAGTAGTAGTAAGAGTACATTTAGCAGTAATACCACTTTAAATACTCATAATTGTGTTAGTTATGGTAGTAGAAGTATCAGTTGTAGTAGTACTACTAGAAGTACGAGTAATATTCGTAGTGGTTGTAGTACTATTTGAATACATATTTCAACGAAACCGCTTCATTCTGAGCTCCATAGTTAAGGTACAGATAATCATTGAGGCTTTTATTTTGTAATGATGGAATTGGGTGAGGGGGGGTTGGGAGACAGAATGTTTGTTCTTCAAACTAAGAAGTTATTAATTGATAGGCCTCATCACAAACATTAGAGTAAGAATTCCCTCCATGGGGCTTTTATTTTGAAATTATTGAATTGGGTGGGGCGGCTAGATAGATAGAGGGAGGGAGGGTGAG